TGCTTACTTTGGGGCTAGCTGGCGCTGTGTGAAATTGTCCAAAGATTTATTATTATTATTATTATTATAAAACGCGGGGAATCATTTTTATCCTAAAAAGTCTAAACAATCTTTGTTTTGTTACACTTATCATACCTACTTACCCTTTTGCGTCTTACCATTAAATATCCATGTCGTCATAATGTCTGTCTGTGGCGTAGGCGCCATTAGCATTATTTTCCTGTCCGCCGAGGTCGGGTTAAAGGTCAACTAGATTCAATATAGTGGATTGACCTCTGCTAGTCCATTTGTATTGGTTTTCTTTAAAACAACACATCTATGCTAATGTTATAACTACCTACACGAGAAAGTTATTCTCTATAAAAACATTTTTGGTATAAATGATAGATGATATCTTTGGGCCTAGGCCTAGGAAAAGAGCATAGACCACAGAATAAGTACTAATAATATTTAGGCTTCCTTTTGTCGGAAAAGAATATTTATTTGTACAACGACAGAAACTTATTTTGACTTGACTTTCTGTCAGACAAAGACTCAACAAATCTACATGAGAAGCTGCAGGCCAAAGCTAGTATTTCTGATTTAAACGCGCAATTTCTACACCTCATTAACTCACGATTTTTAAACTCGGATGTTTTAAATTTTTAAATTAGTTTTTAAGATTCTGAACTGATTTTTAATGAGACCTTGCAGGAAAACTAGAATCACTTCCTAATGCTAGGCTTTTGTTTACTAGATAGGTGATTATAATGATGTTCCATCCAGGGTCGCCCACAATGGGTATCTCATTATGAAATCTCAATACATTACTGTTTTTGTATTTATCTAAATATTTGTTAATTATTCTGTCCAATTTATCGGAAACATCAGACATAGGCTCGACCCTTGTTAAATTATCTCACGTTTGCAAACTCAAATCCTACTGAAATTATCAAAAACCCATAATTTTTCTCGGTGATTTATCGTATTACATATTGTCGTAGTATCTGATCGTATCGTGTTTCTATAAACACTGGGATCTTACGCAGTTGTAATAGGCTAGTTTCCTAAAAAAAAACTTTTAGTCCGTCAATTACCAGTTATCAAGAAATATTAGACACGTATTTTTTTATTTGTCAATCAAACAAGTAATTACGAAGTTATGATGCGTTGAAATTTCGCGTGACGTCACAAAGTGCTACCCTTTTTAGCACGCCTTGACGACACGAGCCTCTTCTTTGAACTTTGGAAGGCTTTATCTCTTCCAATTTTCATTAGTTTGAAAAAGTGGAAAATACATGTCGAGTATTTTTTGATAAGTTAACCAACGGACTAATTCAAACTCTTGCTCTCCCAGGAAACATCCCTATTAGTGCTACCTTACAACAAGAATGTACAGATCCATTTTAAAAATAATGCTCAAGAAACCTTTTAGATACCCTACAACGGATCTCTATAGGGAGGCTCAGGTTCTTACAGTGCGTCAGTTGTTCATCCTTAAAACCACCCTGATTGCCCACAAACGATTAATCTCATCTGATGAATACAATACTCTCATTAAAAAGCGCGTATTCAAAATCCCCACTGCCTCCGTAAATTCTCGATTTGCAAGCAGATTTGGTGACTATGTTAAGGCGCGTATTTATAATAAGGCAGCAAGCTCTTGTAATATAAAATCTTGTTCTGTTTCGGAAGCAAAGATAGCCCTAAGCAAGTGGTTACTCTCGCTGGATTATTCAAGTACAGAAAACCTGATAAATTGATGTTTTTAGGCAACTCATGATGTTTCTTTTGCACCAGAAATTGCATTGTTGTACTGGTTTTCCTTTTCTCTGCAAGTTACACACTTAATTTTATTGGTTTTCCAAGATACAGGCTTGGCCTAGTTTGGAAACCTCTGTATATTTACTCTGTGTCTCCTTCAGCAATGCACTATTTATATTTATATTTAAATTGTGTTACTTCCATTGTAAAAGTTTTGTGCAATAAAGAAATATTATTATTATATTATTATTATTATCTTTGAAAGTGCTACCGACTGTACCCTTTTTAGATCGACAAAACAGATGTTCTTCTGCATTGGACGCGTCGAAGCACCGTTCGTGGAGCGATTCGGGGTCATATTCGTCACACAGCGTCTGCGTAACAATAGATGTATTCTTATTTTGTTGTACAGTAAACTTCAGAACTTGTTTTGTAACTCCCAAACACTAATTAGTTACTAATAAACATGTAAGTTTATTTATTTTAAGCTTCCAAAATTCATGACGCTACCATTATTATGTTAATAGATCTTACAAGTTACAACTGCTGCTCGAAACGAAAACTTATTACCGTCTCGCAGTATTCTAAAACAGCTGGTTATACAGACACTATGGAATGATATTCTTGCACCATGTTTGATCATCATACCTTATCAGCCTACTATGACCACGTCGATTCCGCGTGTTGATCAAAGAAAAACAGGAAATCAGTCCATATCAGAAGATCGATTTCTCAAAATTAATTGGGATTCGAAATATTTGACTTAAGAAGATTGTTCTGGAGAGTCAATTGTTTCTCTAACGGGTCAATTTTTTAAACACAAGCTACGGTGGTCATTTCTAGTTTTCTCGTATTGTATTCTTTCTTATCATACGATTGTGTCCACATGCGTAAATGTTGCATTATGACCTTTAACAACTGCCCTCGCCATTCACGGTATGTTTGTACTTGTACATGAGTCATCTCGCCAGGCCGTCTGGCGCTCGCTTATCTTCAAGGAATGTAGCATTGGAGTGTTGATAAACAACGCGTGTTGCCCCGGTTGCCCCACCGTCTGTTAGCAGGTGAGGGGTGTAGTATACAGGTGGTAGAGTCAACAGCTCTTCGGACTGTACGTACAGTTTTAGGGAAAATAGCACATATAACAGCTGCATAAGGTACTAAAGTACAGTGTTAGCTCAATGTGCGTTGTCGATACAATGCCCGGCAGGTGTGCATTCAGCGATGTCTGCGTGCGAAGGTCAATGCTACCTTTTTTGTCCCTGTAAAAATCTTCAAACAGAAAATAAGTTCTTTTCGTTCATGCTTGAGTTTCAGACGAAGTGGACATAAAAACTAAAAGAGCATGCAAATATTAGACTATTCGCATATTTGGTTATACGCCCCTTTAGTCTGCAGCCCACGATATGTAGATGACGTTACCAGATATGCAATTCACGAAGGATACTTAGGCTGACTTTATGAATAATGATTCCCAAGATGTTTTTAGAATGTTTGTCTACACCGACCAAAAACAGTAATGTTCTGTGTTTGACAGTTGACTATTGGTTGTACAATACGTCTAAGAATATTGTTCGTTATGATGGTCCTTCGAGACGACGACCTTAAAACTTAAACAATGATAAAATGACCAAAGTCGTTTAGTAGCATAACTAATGAGGAACTTTTTATGTAAATTCTTTGAGCGCAACTCCTTAAATTCAAGTACAATCCGTCATAACTCATGTACAGAGTCTATGTCTTCTGTACCCACAACAGACGATGGAACATAAAGTTAAACAAAACACTGTGGTCTGTGCTGTTGTGCTATAGCATCTTTATGTAATTGCAATAAGGCGATTCTGCAACGAAAATATATATTCTGACGTGCTATCGACTGTACATAAAAAAACTAAAACCCAACTACGACAAAAAACGACGCTGAAAAAGTATAAAACAAGATTTTCAGAATACTGAACTGAACAAAGTTGCTAATGTACACACACCGGCAGATTTAGCGGAACGCAAAAAAAAGTATGAAAATAAGGAAAATTACTACTGATCTATGAAATATTTACTATACAAAATAAAGAGATAATTAAAATAAAATAAAATAACATATATTTTTTAAATATTTAGTCGTTTTTATTTAATAAAAAATCATCGAAACGAAATTTCAATTTTTCAGTTTTGAACAAAAATTAGAAATTGTGGCCAGATTAAAAATTAGGGTAGCTTATCACTATCCAAATGAATGAATTAATGATGGGTATTTCCCCCTCTTGCTCTGATGATGGTTTCCATTCATCTGAGCATGCTGCAGTTAATGATATGAAGGGTATTTTGGGGCAATGTCTGCCATTCCTCTAGTAATCATTTACCGTCATCCGCAGACCAACCCCCCCCCCCTAATTTAGAATGACGTAATATATGGACGGCCCCTAAAGTAGTTTAGAAGTTACGAGGGAACAGATGAACATACATACATACATACATACATACATAGCCTGTCAAAATCATAACCCTCCTTTTGCTTTGCCGTAGTCGGGTAAAAACGCACACAATCATCGTTTCAATTAGGCAGCAAATGGACTGGATCTAGTCGGACAAAAACAATCATTAAATATCCGATCAGTTTGATTAGTCACGGTCTGATTTAGATATTATAATTAGCTCTACGCCTTATGATGGACACATGTGAAACTAGTGTTGACTGCTAGTTCGTTAAGGCCTCCACTCCGGTGTTTTAAATGCGGAAATCCAAGGCGATCGGATTGAAGCCGAGATTTCATTGGCTGGTCGCGCATGCCACGACAATCTATTTAAAACCGTATGTGGGTGAGATATGAGTCAATATCGCTCACGCATTTATTACTGTATTTTCGATACTGGCAAACATAGATGTAAACAATGATTTAAGTCCAAGAAAATACTTGTGTGTGTACTTGGGTCACGTGTCGCGTGAGTGACATACGCAGTTGGCAGAGCACCCACTGAATAAGACTGGAAAATCCGGCCCATTTATAAAAGAAAGAATCCAGACCTTAAATTGCTGTTAGTCCTTGAATTGAAGTAGACGTAGCGTCGGGAAATTGCCCTCTTAGGACAAAATAAATAGTAAAACAAGGGTCGAATAAACAGAACCAACAAAAACTAAAATTCGTTTAGAACCACATTGGCCTCAATACCTACTTAGTAGCTCTATCTCTGGAAAAATCGTATACCATTAACCATAAATCAACTTTATGTGAAATTCATGACCCTTTTGTTGTTTCAGGGTAATTCGACATGGTGATGGAAGCTGACCCCATAGCAGGGAAACACACAGAAGGTACAGTCTAATTTTTTAGAAATCAGCAAAAATGTCATCAAAAATGGCCAACTGACATAAAAATATTTTTAGTCTGTGAACTAGTGATGCGACAAAACCTCTCGTTAATCGCGAAGTGAAATTATTGTAGTACTTGCGTATCATCGCCGGGTGATCGTCAAAATACTAAAAATATGCAACAAAGTCGCAACATTGAATAAGAACTGGAAATTTTCGAGAACAGGAAAAAAACTGTATGCACAGATGTAATCAAAAAACACACTGGACAGTAAAACAATCAATGATATCCGTAAAGTTATTAAACTTCAAATTGCAACAAGTTCTGTTTGACAGTGTTGCTACTAGTGACATCTCGCTCGCTCAGTTCTTTGTTGCTCTATTCCGCTAGGGAGGTAATTTAAGATGCTATCAATGAGGGTTTTCGCGATTGAAAAATCCGCCAGATGGCAATACGTAGACGCGAGGTCCAAATGCTGCATGATTGGTTATTTTTGACATGACATTGATTATGTCAAAATCCAAGCATAATTGCATAAAAAAGTTAAATAATTTCGTTTAAATAAAACTGACTCCGAAAAAGCCTACACTAAAAGTACAAAAATAATTTTACGTTATCTCCAATATTGTCGAAGTTATCGCTGGAAAACTAAACAAAGTATCGTATATTTTTTATTTAAAATTAATCAGTAATCGGAATAAGTGAATACTTAAAATAATATCGATTAAATTTACAGATTATTGTCTATGAGTCACAGGTTACAGCACTGATGTGTCAGAGACAAGTCATAGACAATATGGAGATAACACATGATTTTAAACGTCAAGTCAATTTGACAAGTCTCACAAATTTTCATCGTCCACGTATTTTGCAAAATTAATTTGTTTCAAAGATTGATTTCAAACTTGTTTAAACGTGAAAATAAAGTTGGTTTCATGGGCTTGTTAAATAATGTGTATGATATTATGAACACGTAAGTGATTATGGTGTAATTGTGTATGAAAGTGTTTGTTTACATCTCTGCTGGATTCTAAAAAATCAAGGTATAAATGTCTTATCTCTACTGAAAACAAATACTAGCCAAGTGCGAATCGGACTCAAGGTTCCGTATACCATGCACTATACAGTGTGAGTCACGTTAAAGTGTACATATGAAAATAGATGAAACTAGACCTATTTTTATCGACAAAAAAGTGGTCAAAAATGTTTTGAGATTTTTTTTTAATTTTTTATAGAATTTTTTTTCTTCCAATTACTTATTGTAAAGAAAACGTAATAACTTTTAAACTAAGCAGTATATCCTGATAAAATAAAAACAGTAATAATGCTAAATAACAGGCGATACTAAAAAAATACATACAATACACAAAAAATGCCAACAAATAATAAAAAATGATACTTTTTGAAAAAAATCTGCTTAAAAATTCGTGATTTTTTGGTTATTTGATAAATTTCTCCGAAAAATGCCCCTATAATAGGTGGTTTTTATTGTTTTGTATTATTCTCTATTGTATAACCTTTGTAAAACCAAAAATTGCATGTCTCTATCCCTATCACAACATTTGCTATGATCGTTTGAACTAAGCCTCTCCGGGCGCGCCATTCAACGCTTCGTTAACAACGAAACTGAAAATGGCTCTAGATTTGTAATTTTGATAAAGACAAGTTAGATTTCAAGTAAAAACAAAAGATTTCGAAGTAAAATAAGCATTTTAGTTAAAATTAAAATTGTCCCTACCTGTAGAGGAGAATAATGTTGTGGTAGGCCTTTGTTCAAACTATCATAGCAAATGTTGTAATAGGAATAGAGACATGCAATTTTTGGTTTTACAAAGGTAATACGATAGAGAATAATACACAACAATAAAAACCACCTGTTATAGGGCATTTTTTGGAGAAATTTATCAAATAACCAAAAAAACACGAATTTTTAAGCAGATTTTTTTCAAAAAGTATCATTTTTTATTACTTGTTGGCATTTTTTGTGCATTGTATGTATTTTTTTAGTATCGCCTGTTATTTAGCATTATTACAGTTTTTATTTTATCAGGATATACCGCTTAGTTTAAAAGTTATTACGTTTTCTTTACAATAAGTAATTGAAAGAAAAAAAATTCTATAAAAAATTAAAAAAAAATCTCAAAAATTTTTTGACCTCTTTTTTGTCGATAAAAATAGGTATAGTTTCATCTATTTTCATATGTACACTTTAACGTGACTCACACTGTATTAGCTGTATTTCGTAAATCGAAAAGAAAAATCGTCAAAAAACACAGACTGTTAACAGACAGTCAGCGAAGGCATTGTTTACGATTACGACCTTTGGGGAATCCTAAAAACTCTGGTATTTATTTGGGTGAAAATTACTACCAAGGCCAAGAAGACAATGAAACTAAGCTGATGTTCTAAATATCAAGATGTTTTAGTGTAATGCAGCTGTCGTATTTGTTAACCCACTTGGCGGGAAAGACGGCTCATATGCGTAGTATAAATGAAGTCATAGATGCAATAAACGCACTTTCAGCCCACATAGACATACATAATACAGATATATCATTTGTTACACCCACGCTATAACTGTGTCGCAAATGTGACTATTGTCAGTGTCCTTCTGAGAAAAAATAATTATGTATCTTCAAAGAAGTCAGAAGTTGGTGAATCTCTTTTGAAGTAAAGCCTCTTTACTAAAGCCCTTTCTTAGCTAATTTTGGAACAAGGTGCTGGCATGTAAAATGTTCAAGGAATATTATTATTATGGCTTTATTCTTGTTACTAACCAGGTTAATTATTAAATAACTTGGATAAAAGATAATTAAACAGGCAATTTTCCCAGTGATGCGCGGAAAATATATTCCTTCTTGTTACTTGTAATGACGTCTTGTAATGACGTAGAATTCACGTATGAATAACATGAATAATTTCACGCGATATTAAATGTGTCCTTACAATACATTGTAGTTGTACCTTATGTTTTGACGGATTCCAATTATTCGTACAAACTATTCATCATACTTACGCAAAAGCATATCGTATAACGTCACAATGATAATAAAGCCATTGTTCCGTTCCAAGGGATACCTACTTGAAGATAGTATCGGTTTGCGGTGCATTATGCAACCAAGCAGTGTCTACTTGATTAACATTATTTAAAAATCGCCCTTATTACCAGTGCTTAAGATGCCACAGTTTAGATTAATGTGATGCCGTTATAGACTTACACAAAATGCTTATTTTTTACTAAAAATATACACAGAAACAGTCGATAATCCGATCATGATAGTATGTCTGATATCTCAAATAGTCTTATTATCGTCCCCGTCATTACCTCTCGAAGTCTACAAGCATGTCTGCCAGATGTCGAATTCCTATTTCCTCCGATTTTTATTGGTCAGACAGTTTTGGCATTTAGAATTTTGGACACGATCCAAGCTTTTTATTCGCTATAAACTCATTTGATGCTGTCCTGCTTCAGACGGGCCGTATAACGTATTAGTATACAGCTTTATGTGAATAACCTTTAGTATTAGCTAAGGTAGAAATGTGGACATGAGTTCCATTGTTAAAAAACCGGCTTAGATCTGCCGACCTATTTTTCTTTGTGGAGCCATTTCGCTCAGTCGTTGCTCCAGATTGTAATTTGAGGTGTGGCTATAAATACTGGTCTCGTGTCTGTTTTGTCTCTTCATTAGAGTGTAACCACGGAGGGATCAAACGAGAAGGATGGAAGTTATTTACGAGCCCGATCGTATTACTTTCAATGCAAAGGTGAAAGACTGATTAAACGACTAATCAGTGACGATACCTCTGACGTCGATTTCCAGATTATCTAATCTGGCAATCTTATTTAATGTCAGACTGTTCCTTTATTCCTACCAGACTAGGCGTTTGAAAGAAGACTTGCTTCTTCTGCAACTTCTGAATCGGAAGAATCATTGCGGGATTATTCTCACCTCTCCTGCAATTCCTCCGCTGCAACTCCTGCGGAGCCAGGATCTACGGCTTGACCTCCAATAAAAACCCAAACAATTAAGGTCAAGTTTGAAGAACCATTAGCAGTTTTGTGATCGTGTCCATTATTTATTGCCAAAACTCTTCTCTTTAACTCCCCGTTGAAAACACACCTGTCTACCATGTCTTCCATATTCTAATTACATGCAGTCAATCGGAACTAAATAAAGATTACTTCCAAGAATACCTTGAATTAATTCTTCAACAATTTAATGGATTTCTCCACTGATTATATCCTGAAAGTTTTACATAGCCACTTGTACTGATTAGATTCAATGTGATTAGTTGTAATGATCGTTAGTTTGATTAAAGGTGTCTTATAAAAATTGAATCTCTTCAGTTTTCATAGTCATTGGTTTTACTCACAATCTACAATCTTTTGTGGACTCTCTTCATTGTATTAGAAATCGTTTGAAATTAAATGTATGAAATTAATTATGAAAACTCCAATGGCCAAAGCATACAATAATTATAAAACAAATGCCAATTTCATGCATTTTGTTTCGCATGTTCTCGGAAAATGGTCCATTGAAAGTGAAACGACAGAATGTCCACAGTGCAAAAGAGCTCTTGAGCTAATTGTAACCGCGAAAATGTCATTTCTATTGGCAATTAATTTTAATTCCCTTAAATCCGGCGTCCTTGACTCTTCGGAATGTCTGACTGACACAGAATTTCACAATAAACTGCCACAAATGTTCCGTATCAAGCCATTGCCGATCGCATCCTGCGCTTCGCTTCACTGCGCCCATTGTTAGTTTTCACGGTGCTGCACAGATAGCTTTGTTTAGTTTACTCTATTAAGGTTAAATTGAATTTAAATCTCTCAAATTCGGATCCCAAACTCTGTAGAGAATCTCTTCTACGATCACTTCATAATGTCTTTATCTTAAAGGTTACAGTTTATAACAAAAACCCCAGAAAAAAAACAAGGTAAAGTTATTGTCTGAAATAAAATAACTCTCTGAAACTCTTCGACGCAGCCATATTAAGTTGTCTTCTAAAACAATAGCTATATTTTTTAACGAAGAAAATTAAAGTGGACGGGAACCTCTATAAGCTACTGAACTGTACATCTTGTAAATCTTTCTTTTCTTTTATACCTTCCACTGGCTGGACTCAGGTCTCAGACGATCATTAAATCTAATTTCAATATTTATTAATCTTTTTTTTGTTTCGGCATTTTGAGGTTCAGCCAGAGCCCAAAGTTTACGCGTTGCTCTCGTCTACGTTCTTTGGAATTTTATTTGTTGAAAGATTTTAGGCAACTTACTACTTTCATACCTTTTGTTATCAGTTTCCAAGATTCTACTTCAAGTGCATTGACTTGTTTTCATTACAGATTCTCTTATTGTTTTCTTTCCTGTTTATCTGATCGCCTCATTCATGGTCGCACGGCCTTGTTTTTTGTTTCTTAATAGCCTTTGCGTGTGACTTCGTGCACGTAGACTTTTGGTAAAAGTATGAGTAGGGACTAGGGATGCAATTCATCTAGGTTTCCCTGGATTTGTCTTTGTTTAGAGTTTTCATAAGTAGTCCGGGATCAAAATTTTCACTCTTAGGCCGTTGATTGGCAACGACTAGGTGACGGGTTCTGAGCTCCAAAATCCTTGTCTTGGTTGCCAAATTTTAGAGATGGCAGGAGCTATACAAAGCTACATAGTACTACATAGCTATAACATTGTGAAGTTGCATCGAAATTCGCGCATAAGTTGTTTTAATTAAAAGGTAACGAACATCAATGATCCATCCATCCTCACTACTTTCACGTTAATTTTTATTTATGTACTTAATCAATAGAGTATAAAAAATGTTATATCTTGGATAGTCATAATTGGCCTACAAAATCTTATAAAAACATTATAATTCCAAATGACAGTGTGCTGTGTAGGTACTATTCCTAAATAAATAAAATAAAAATATTATTTAATATAATCTTATTTCTATCTCGAATTTTGGGATTTTCTCCTCTGTTATAGTTTTTGTTGCTTATTTGAAAATGTTCAAAATAGACCAGATTAGTAGGCCGATCCAGCCGCGTGGGAGGCTGCCTCTAAATCTGTTACACGAGTCATCTCGGAGGTAATCCTACGTAGGTGATGGATTTATAATATTGTAGTTATTTTTATTTTCTCTTACCACCCCAGCAAGGACGTACACAGTTAATTCTTAATTATTTCTTTTTTTGTTGTAATGCACTCCATTCTATCTATCCATCCACTTATGGTATTATTGTTGACCAATTAGCTTATTTGATAAGACAATTTTAATTAATTTATAAATACCTAAGACCGATCAGGATCTAGGTATCTATTTATATTATTTTCTAACTTTGATACACAGTGTTATGTAATACAGTAATGGTGCCATTTTGAAAGTCTTATGTGATGGATGACTGTATGTACAAATCCAGAGCTTAGACGAAAATTAAAGACTCTACATTACATAAAATAAACAGTCGCAATTTATTCACGTAAATTATAACATGACAGGTATAATAATAAATACAAAATACACGCATGAAACTGTCTGCTGTCGGAAAATCTAAGGCGTAATTGTGGTATAATCCTCGCGAGGCCGCAATTGTTCGTGACACAGTTCTATTAGGAAGCGGGTGTAGGAGGCGATACCGCAATGGCAACTGTTTTATGCATAATTTACAGACGACAGCACTTCAAACTATACATTTTTGTTCTAAAGTAACCCCTAATACAACGGCATAAGATAGAAGTGTATAGTGACATGCCGTCGTCTGTAGGGGAGGCCGAGCTGAGTTGTAACAGAGGAGAGTTGTGATATTGTTGATTTTTTCTAACTTATTTACTACATACTAGCTTTTGCCCTCGGCATCACACAGTTAATTTGTCACAGATCGTAATAAATTCTAGCCTATATGTTATTCTGAGTTATAAACAATAATACAGTAATATACATATAATAACAGAATGAACATGGACAAGACAAAAATCATGTCTAATGTCCGTGTTGCACCCACTCCTCTGAAGGTTGGAGACTCTACACTCGAAGTTGTCGACAATTATGTATACCTGGGACAAACAGTCCAGTTAGGTAGGTCCAACTTCGAGAAAGAGGTCAATCGTCGAATCCAACTCGGATGGGCAGCGTTCGGGAAGCTTCGCCATATACTCATGTCCGAAATACCGCAGTGTCTCAAGACGAAAGTCTTCGAGCAGTGTGTGTTGCCAGTGTTGACATATGGATCCGAAACGTGGTCGCTTACTATGGGCCTCATAAGAAGGCTCAAGGTCACCCAAAGGGCGATGGAGCGGGCTATGCTCGGAGTTTCCCTGCGTGATCGAATCAGAAATGAGGAGATCCGTAGGAGAACCAAAGTAACCGACATAGCTCGCAGAATTGCTAAAATCAAGTGGCAGTGGGCGGGGCACATAGCTCGTAGAGACGATGGCCGTTGGGGCAGGAAAGTTCTCGAGTGGCGACCACGGGCTGGAAAACGTAGCGTGGGCAGGCCTCCTACTAGGTGGACCGACGATCTGGTAAAGGTCGCGGGAAGAGCCTGGATGCGGGCAGCGCAGGACCGTTCATTGTGGAAAACCTTGGGGGAGGCCTTTGTCCAGCAGTGGACGTCATTTGGCTGAAACGAACGAACGAACGAAACAATAATACTGTAAAGTTTCATCAAAATCCGTTCAGTAGTTTTTACGTGAAAGAGTAACAACATACACAATCACAAACTTTTGCCTTTATAATATTAGTACCTTTGCGCGTTTTTAGTCCGCAAGTCTCGAGCTAACAAATACGCGCTGTTGCGTACTCGTTGATAGTTATCAAGTTTTCAAAAATCGACAACGTCACAACTGTCCTCTGTTACAACTCACGTCGGTCTCCCTTACATGCGTCGGGGCCGGTACACATCAACAATGCATGCCCAAAAAAGGACGCTCCATTCATTGTTGTAGGTTGAAGATTGGATTTTATGTTCAACTCGCAAATACGCAGCTTTGTTATTCATTAATCTTCTTTCGTTTGCGGTCCAAAGTAATAAGTATCACTGTAAATTAATTTAAAAAAATCTATTACGATGAGATGTGTCTTCCCACTTTCGTATACTAGTTTGCCTGTAAGACTTTAGTGAACAGACAGATATGTACAGAGCAAGCATGGTCTTAGATCACATATCATATTATCATTAGGTGACATTGAGGTCAATTAAACGTTTGTAACTTTGTAGTGCGAGTGTGTATTGTAGAGCACATAATTCATATTGATATCTGTTATCTACATGCCATAACATGAGTCAGGTACCTAAGTAATGTGAGTGGATGTGAGTTTATTTACTATCAGTAATTTTTGATCTAGAATGAAAATTATAGGTGGCTAATATCGTAAACACATTCGCCTTAAATTTCTAAAAGGAAAAATGAACACTCTATATCATTTTAATCTCGAATTCTCGAGTTACATGCTTCAATGATTTCCAATAAACTCCAGTCATTTTATCAAATATCATTGCTTAACAATAAAGCATCCATCTCAAATTTCGCAGTGAAAGAGTATTGATTGTGTCTTTTGTCTGTCGAGAGTCGAACCCTCGACCTTCGGGCACCTGCCGGGTCAAGGTTCGCAACACCCTAAAGCGATTACATCGTTCGTGATTCACCCGCATAGGTTTGACTGAAGCCGGTTATTCTACCTCCCTCTTTGCCTAAATTACACCCCTCCAAAACGGCTCGACTTTTCCAACTCATATGTGTCAAATACAAAGTTTTTGTCGTCACGAAAGCTTTCAAAACTTTAACCCTAATAGATTACACATGACAGGGTTAGGTTTTATTTAATTTATTTGGAAATGGAAACATTTTTTACCATGTTTCGAACGGCAAATTTATAGCCTTATCGTATGAAAGTAATCTGTGCTTGCTTATAGTCCAAAAAAATTTTTAAAAATACTATGCCTGTTAGGGAATGAACTTGGAAGAGATTAAAACCACGTGTTTTTAACCAAATAAAAAAAATTATTTACTTCTTGTTTAACAAAAAATTACAATATTATTAGCGTGTCTTTTTTTGCGGAAAACAAGTGCCGAATTTTCTGTATTATGTATTTATTTTCACTGCATGTATAGCGTGATCTAGTGCTGCATTAATGAATTCCGCAACTATTTTTATATCCAAATATTCGTTACTGTCTTTATTATTTGTTACATTATCAATAATAACATGTACAACGATTTATAACGTTTTCCGTTGCACCGTCTTTCATAATATTTATTCACTCACATTTTTTTATATGAAAATCAACCAGTTTTCACGTAGATATTCAACTAAATCTTGGTTCTGACACTCTACACACATTTTGTAAGATAATAAAACCGATAGACTAAAAATTAAAAGGGTTAATGGTTCTAAAAAATGTGTTTACATTTGATTTACACGCGTCTTTGTTGTGCCTTTGTTCTTCTAAGCGAATCTCTCATCGACGGCCGTGATGAGTTCTACATCATGAGACGAAAATACAGTTTTTAAATTGTTGCCTCTCAAAAAAGATTCCTGACTCAGTCAAGTTTAATATAGCCGTATTTATATTTAGTTAGTACGATACGATGACACAAAATTCTAACCCTGCAAAGTCAAATACATTTAATTCAGATTATGTGGGAGTGGAGAACACCCTATTCAATTGACACATTACTCTTATGGGCTGTCAAAACGCGACTCTCCTATAGAGATTTTGTACAATAGGGACTATGACGTCATCAAACAATTTATCGATTTCGAAGATACTAAAATCGTAAGTGCACTTGTGACATTGTCTCACGGAGATCCTATTAGTTGTTAAGCAACATATTTGGAAACATGTCGCTCCATTTGTCCCCTTCATTCATGTTCAGTGAGAGTGGAATACTACCACGCCATGAGTGTATGAGCGAGTGAGAAAGAGAGAGTTTATTCTCATTAAATAAGTCTTGTGTGTTTATTAATTTGTGTATCATTTGTTTTAGATAGAGTGCACGGCGCATCGCTGCGGGCGCGGGCGGGTGGTGACGTCATCGCTCCCGAACGGTCCGTCAGCTCTCTAGACCTTGCGATGCAGTACTCCGCACCCTCCAATCTGGTGCTCACTCCTGCGCCGGAATGTGAGTCTTATTTGCAGTGGAATAAAAAATATTTTGGTTTATCAGTGGCATAAGTGATACGAACTTGGATTATTGGCATAAAAAATGGAATTGTTTGGCGATTGTACGGGTATGTGGATTTCAGGTTTAATTCATAGTCCATTTATTTTATAGGGCTATAAAAGAAAATTTACACTAACATTTATATGATTACTCATTCATTTAATCTCATTTGTGATGTTTATTTTATCAACACGCAGTCACCGATAGGTAGCATTTTTTTTTAAGACAAAGGGAGAATTATGCGAACACAGACCTCCGCTGGTAAATGAGGGTTTCCTAAATTGCACTCACCAGTTGGCGCCACTGGTGAGTGATAGGACCTTAGATGCCAGTAGCGCTAACCTGATGATTGCAAATGCGATGGTCCTCCTACGGCTTCAACGCTCACCAATGAGGGCTATCGTTTTTATACGTAACAGTTGGCACCCCTGGCGATTGACAGGACCTTACTCTACAGTGGCGCCATCTTGATGAGTGCAAATGCGATAGTTCTCCTACCACTTTAGCGCTCACAAGTTGGCGCCACTGTCTTCGCTACTAGCAAGTGACAGGACCTTACTCTACAGTGGCGCTAACTGGTGAGCGCTAAAACAATAGCCCTCATTGGCACTATTGTCTTAGCCACGGGCAAGTGACAGAACCGTACCGACAGTGGTACTTAACTTGTAATCGCAATAAAGGAAACCCTCATTAAAGTCCTGTAGTGGAGACTAAAATGACCTTTCCCCTCTAGGCAAGTGGCACTTAACTTATCAGTTGTCATTTGGAAAAGCCCTTGCTCTGACCATCTGACGTTATTTTCTAAAGTTAATTCGCTCCGTGAAGGGATTCAATTTTTGTGGGCCTGCTGATGTTAATTGATGATGATGATGTGTCTTTCCAGGTCGGAAGCTGTCCCGCGGGATCTCCCGGGCCACAGACAACGAAGGCCTAGTCTGGGCCCTCAGGAGCAACACAGAACCGGAGCCCAGCAACCTCAGTTCAGACCACATCCTGCTGCTGCCAGATATATCTGTCTACCCGCCAGATTTTAGGTGAGCTCACTTGAACTAGCAAGAACTCCTATGTTCTTCTGATTAATTTCGTTGCGGGTCCAATGACAGTTCCATTAACTTTCCCCCGGGATAAACTTGACCTTCACTGGTTGGGTTTTTATTGGCGGCCAAGCTGCAGATCCTTGCTACACAGGAGTTGCAGCGGTGGAAACGAGAGGTGTGAATAGTCCCGTTTGAACTAACATTACTAACAAGAAATCCTCCTATGTTCTTCTGATTAATTTCGTTGTGGGTCCAATGACAGTTCCATTAACTTTCCCCCGGGATAAACTTGACCTTCACTGGTTCGGTTTTATTGGTGGTCAAGCTGTAGATCCTGGATACACAGGAGTTGCAGCGGTGGGAACGAGAGGTGTGACTCCCATTGAACTAACGTAATTAGTTCTAACTTGTACTCAACTCGCGTGTAACTTCTTATGATGAGACTAAATGCCTGATGATGATAAATAAAAACTAGTAGGTCCCTATTTGCTTTAGTAGATAGATAGGTACCTATTTGCCCCTAAGAGATTCAGAATTTCAGATTTCTAGCTCAGAATGCATAAAAAAATTTCTGCATGCACACCGTGAATGTGAGCCTCATTTCCGGGGCATATCATGTCGTCCACGTAAAACGTCACCGCAGCACAGTCGTAAAAGTGCGGTTTAGACCTTGCGGGAAATGTTTGAGTGCTTCTTGTGGGTATTATTTATTTACAAAGAAACGACAGAGGGCCGTGACATGTTCTCTTTTGTTTCATGTTATTTTTAAGTTTTATTTTATTTATAAACTGCCTAAAATAATGTATTTTTACATATATGGTTTGTGAAATTCGTTCATGTCTCTGTGCACGCATGTCTGTTTCGTAAAATGACAAAAATCACGGCCATTTATAAACTCTCAAACTCTGTCATATCCATATTCATCTTCCAACAATTTGGCACCAACCTTTGGCTTCGTGCCATTTATTTATGCATTTGTATCAATTGTCACGTTTGCCCTGTTGCATTTAATACATTGTGATTAATTTAAGTTTAACCGTGCTCAATCTAAATGGAATCCAAATCAGAATGTCGTACCTTCTGAACCGACCCGTCTATTTGCATTTTAGTTTGGCGGCGCGCCATGTGTTTAATTATTCTTTAGCACTACAAAGAAGGTCGACCTTTTCTAGGTGTTACCTACCTTACTTGGTGTTTAGGCGACGGTTGTCATATTGCATGGAAACGAAACGATCTACTCGCGTCACTATTCGACCGACAATCTACTTTAGGGCATGCAATACTGGGCCTTATGCATTGAATGATACTTTTCCAAATTGGAAATCCATCTCTAATAGGGAGCATGTCTTCCAAGATAAAGATGACGCATCTCCGAGCAGTCAAGTAGCATCAATTGTCACACTACCTTATTTACGGTATACGTTTTAGGGCCAGTTGTTTGATCCTTGGCCAAATAGACAATTATGACACTAAGAGTAGGCGCACACCGTTGATTTTTAGTTGGCCGATAATTGTGCCCGATTTTAATTTGTATGAAGAATCGGCCAAATCGAATCGGCGTAGTGTGCGCACTCCCATACATGCCCATACTGATCAACTGCCCGACTAAACTATCGGCCGACGAAAAATCAACGGTGTGCGCCTACTCTAATTGAGACGTACCTTTGAAGCATTTTTAAACCTTGTTGTTTGACTGCTCTAAGATGCGTCACCTTCATCTTCGTTTACACGCAGGGTGTATTTTAGAGGTGATTTCTTGTTGTTTTCACTGATTGAAAATTAGAACGATTCTCTAATCACCCTCGCTAAAAATCCCTAAAAATTGCCAACCAATTTAGCCGCCTTTTACTTATAATTAAAAAACCAATAAGCAGTCTTCAGTCCATAATCAGTCCGTCGGATCTACCAAATCGGCCGTCTATTCGGCAGTTTGGCACTCCAGTTTGGCGACCGGCCAGCGTTCGTTACCCGCACGCAAGCCACCCCGCTGTGCCGTTGAACCCTTGTTATTGTTTATGGTACCATGACGCCGACACATTAAAAAACAACAAAAAAGCAAAGTAAATTAATTTATAAGTCATGTACTGGCTGTGCCCGCGACTTTGTTCGTGTTACAGATCGTGAAATAGAGTATTCGAGTAGAGAGCCGTAAAGACATTACTGGATTCACGATTATCTGCATTTCTTTCTTCAATAATTGCTACGAAGACCTCCACTAAAGGGACTGCTATCATTTATTACAGCAGGATCTGCATATTATTTGTTATTTATCATAAAGTCTTCCTCAGCAGATTTTAAATGCTAATGCTTGATGACCAGCTGAGTTACTTAGGACATTGACACCATGTTTATTTATTTAGCCACAGTTTAATACAGTTTTTTATGTCTGGATTGAGATTTTGACGTCGTAACCAAACGTTTCCAGCAAAAACGACAATGTACGGCCAATGTAATTTTGTGGAAGGTCAGGCGTCATTGTAAATCAAAACAGGAAGCGTTAAATACACTTTATAAGTAAACATTTGGCAACTCTACAAACTACGTTGGGTAATGGATGACCATTAGTCTCCAAATAGAAACAATTCAAAATAACTCTCCTAATTGAGTCAAATCTAGCTGTTTGGTTAACACTCGTTATAGTCTTTCTTTATACTTTGTATTTGTTGTAGGTACAAACATTTATTTGTCATTAAAGTTAATTGTCCACTTAAAATAATATGTTAATTAATATCTTTAAAACTGATAAAAATAAAAGTTATTTCCTACTTGCAATGAAACTTTAGAACACGAGAACAATATTTTTTACCTATTTTTTAATATTATTGCGTACCTATATACTTACTAATTTTTGTTGTATTTACTTCATAGACACGCTTATTTAATAGACACGTACGGACACAAATAATATTTTACCTTGGTAAATAATACTTTACCTTAAGCTAAGCACGTTTCAAAGACTTAGGTATTATAAAATAACGCTAAAACTAATTTGAAACGCAAATTCTCTAGCCCTAACAAGATATTCAAATTCCGCTTATCTAAACCTGAAATAAACCCAACCAAATTACTACCTACTTAAATCTTGTCATCTTTCCAGAACATTCATCGAAAAGGACCTCTTAGAGACAGCTACCCTAGTGACCCTAGAGTCAGCTGGTATCCTTAACTGGTGGCGACAGGGCCGCATACCAGGCGCTCCAAGACTGCTGCCTCTGGCGACTTCTGGAGACGGCAACTGTTTACCCCATGCGGCTTCGTTGGCAGCTTATGGCTTCCATGATAGACTATTGGCGTTGAGGACTAAGGTCCAGGCGTTATTGTCTGGAGAAGGGGGAGATGCTCTCACAAGTGAGTGTTAGATTTTTAATTTATTTATTTCCAATAATGCTTATATCGATCTCTACTTTAATGACTTTTGAGTCATCGTTTTCGAATTAATTGCGTAGCAACTGCTTGGCCCATGCGAACATGCCTTTCATCTGACTTCTAAAATAAGTAGCTTAGCTGGACATGAGAGAAGTAGTATCTTGCTCTATGTCCCAGCACTAAGAGAATTTCACGCATGCTCTTCAACACAAGCAGTTTGTGTATCCTATGCCGAGTTAATTCATTGTCATTCAGGACAACTCTATTTAACTCACGATTTACGAATTGACATTTTAACTGTCTACAATTTCTTAGATACTGCAAATACCTATACGGAATACACTTTATTCTGTTGCAATACTCAATAGTTTAAACCTGACAACATAAATTTGATTTGGAATTATTATTCCCCAGGTGCAATCAAACGCCGATGGCGGTGGTCAGAGAGCCTCTGCCTCCGCTCAGCAGGGCTGACGCCCTCTGAGGCTGAATGGGAGCGCGACTGGCAAGACGCGGTCGCGGCTGCGTCAGCGGAGCCCCGTCCGAGACAACCAGCAACCGCTGCGCCGCCGCCAGCGCCGCACTACGCTGGATTAGAGCAACTTCATGTATTGGCGTTGGCGCATGTCATGAGACGACCGGTCATTGTGTTCGCTGATGTGGCTTTACGGGTAAGTTGACTTTAAGCCCCGCCCATTACTGTTTCAAGCTAGAACAACGCCCCTCCTTGAAACAGCTGTAACTCTAGCTCTGGCGCATGGTATGTCGTTGTCATTTCTGACGTCACATGGTGAGTATCCTGACGCCATCCGAAGCAGAATGGGAGCGCGACTGGCAGGACGCGGTCGCGGCGACGTCAGCGGAGCCCCGCCCGAGACAGCCTGCGACCGCTGCGCCACCGCCAGCGCCGCACTATGCTGGATTCGAGCAACTTCATGTATTGGCGTTGGCACATGTCATGAGACGACCGGTGATCGTCTTTGCTGATGTAGCATTGCGGGTAAGTAGACGTGAAAAGTGTATTTGATTCCCTTTATAAGCCCCGCCCATTACCGTATTGGGCTTTAACAAAGCCCCGCCCCAAAATACGCTGGCCTGAATCAGCTGTAACTACTAGCGTCGGCGCATGTGTTTGTCATCACTGACGTCACGTGGTAAGTATCCTGACGCCCTCCGAAGCGGAATGGGAGCGCGACTGGCAAGACGCGGTCGCAGCGGCGTCAGCGGAGCCCCGCCCGAGACAGCCTGCGACTGCTGCGCCGCCGCCAGCGCCGCACTACGCTGGCTTGGAGCAACTTCATGTATTGGCGCTTGCGCATGTCATGAGGCGACCGGTCATTGTGTTCGCTGATGTGGCTTTAAGGGTACGTTGACATAACATTTGCTTATAAACCCCGCCCATTATTGTATTGGACTTTAACAGAGCCCCGCCCCAAAATTCGCTAGCTTGGAACAGCTGTTCCACGCTGGCTTGGAGCAACTACATGTGCTTGCGCTTGCGCATGTCATGAGGCGACCGGTGATTGTGTTTGCTGATGTAGCATTGCGGGTAAGTAGACGTGAAAAGTGTATTTGATTCCCTTTATAAGCCCCGCCCATTACCGTATTGGGCTTAACAAAGCCCCGCCCCAAAATACTCTAGCGGAACCGCTGTAACTACTGGCGTTGGCGCGTGTATTTGTCATCTCTGACGTCACATGGTGAGTATCCTGATGCCCTCCGAGGCTGAATGGGAGCGCGGCTGACAAGACGCGGTCGCAGCGGCGTCAGCGGAGCCCCGCCCGAGACAACCTGCAACCGCTGCGCCGCCGCCTGCGCCGCACTATGCTGGGTTGGAACAGTTACATGTGTTAGCATTGGCGCATGTTATGAGACGACGGGTGATCGTCTTCGCTGATGTGGCTTTACGGGTAAGTTGACTTTGAACACTCTACGCTTTATATTATAAGCACTGAAGGCGTAGATTAGTAAGCCCTGAAAGCCATCCAGAGACTGCTGCGCCGCCGCCAGCGCCGCATTACGCTGGATTAGAGCAACTTCATGTATTGGCGCTTGCGCATGTCATGAGGCGACCGGTCATTGTGTTCGCTGATGTGGCTTTAAGAGTAAGTTGATATGACACTTGCATTTGATTCCCTCTAAAGCCCCGCCCATTGGTGTATCAAGCTGGAACAACGCCTCTCCTTGAAAAAGCTGTAACTCTTACTCTGACGCATGGTATGCATTTGTCATCTCTGACGTCACGTGGTGAGTATCCTGACTGCGCCGCATTACGCTGGCTTGGAACAGTTACATGTGCTTGCGTTGGCGCATGTCATGAGGCGACCGGTGATTGTGTTCGCTGATGTGGCTTTAAGAGTAAGTTGATATAACACTTACCTACATTAGATTCCCTTTATAGGCCCCGCCCATTAGTATTGGGTCGGAACTACACCCCGCCCCAAAATACGCTAGCTTGGAACGGCTGTAACTACTCCCGCTGGCGCACGGTATGAGGTATTGTCATTGTCTTCGCTGACGTCACACAACGCTCCTCCTTGAAAAAGCTGTAAGTCTTACTCTGGCGCATGGTATGTATTTGTCATCTCTGACGTCACGTGGTGAGTATCCTGACGCCCTCCGAGGCTGAATGGAAGCGCGACTGGCAAGACGCGGTCGCAGCGGCCTCAGCGGAGCCCCGCCCGAGACAACCAGCAACCGCCGCGCCGCCGCCAGCGCCGCATTACGCTGGCTTGGAGCAACTTCATGTATTGGCGCTTGCACATGTCATGAGAAGACCGGTGATTGTCTTCGCTGATGTGGCTTTAAGGGTAAGTTGAAATGACACTTGCTTATAAGCCCCGCCCATTACCGTATTGGGCTTAACAAAGCCCCGCCCCAAAATACTCTAGCGGATCCGCTGTAACTACTGACGTTGGCGCATGTATTTGTCATCACTGACGTCACGTGGTGAGTATCCTGATGCCTTCCGAAGCGGAATAGGACCGCGACTGGCAAGACTACTCAGCAGAGCCTCGCCCGCGACAACCCGCAACCGCTGCGCCGCCGCCTGCGCCGCATTACGCGGGGTTGAAACAGTTACATATACTTGCGCTTGCGCATGTCATGAGACGACCGGTGATTGTGTTCGCTGATGTGGCTTTAAGGGTACGTTGACATAACATTTGCTTATAAGCCCCGCCCATTACCGTATTGGGCTTAAACAACGCCCCGCCCCAAAATACACTAGCTTGGAACAGCTGTAACTACTCACGCTGGCGCATGGTATGAGGTATTGTCATTGTCTTCGCTGACGTCACACAACGCTCCTCCTTGAAACAGCTGTAACTCTAGCGCTGGCGCATGGTATGTTGTTGTCATCTCTGACGTCACGTGGTGAGTATCCTGATGCCCTCCGAGGCTGAATGGGAGCGCGACTGGCAAGACGCGGTCGCAGCGGCGTCAGCGGAGCCCCGCCCGAGACAGCCAGCAACCGCTGCGCCGCCGCCTGCGCCGCATTACGCGGGGTTGAAACAGTTACATATACTTGCGCTTGCGCATGTCATGAGACGACCAGTGATTGTGTTTGCTGATGTGGCTTTAAGAGTAAGTTGATATGACACTTGCATTTAATTCCCTCTAAAGCCCCGCCCATTACTGTTTCAAGCTAGAACAACGCCCCTCCTTGAAACAGCTGTAACTCAGCGCTGGCGCATTGTATATATTTGTCATCTCTGATGTCACGTGGTGAGTATCCGATACCTTCCGAAGCGGAATGGGAGCGTGACTGGCAGTCAGCGGAGCCCCGCCCGAGACAACCAGCAACCGCTGCGCCGCCGCCAGCGCCGCACTATGCTGGGTTGGAACAGTTACATGTGTTAGCATTGGCACATGTTATGAGGCGACCGGTTATCGTGTTCGCTGACGTAGCGTTGCGGGTAAGTTCATAATACTTGCTTATAAGCCCCGCCCATTACCGTATTGGGCTTAACAAAGCCCCGCCCCAAAATACTCTAGCGGAACCGTTGTAACTACTGGCGTTGGCGCGTGTATTTGTCATCTCTGACGTCACGTGGTAAGTATCCTGATGCCCTCCGAAGCGGAGTGGGAGCGCGACTGGCAAGACGAGCGCGATTAGAGCAACTTCATGTACTGGCATTGGCACATGTCATGAGGCGACCGGTCATTGTGTTCGCTGATGTGGCTTTAAGGGTACGTTGACATAACATTTGCTTATAAGCCCCGCCCATTATTGTATTGGACTTTAACAGAGCCCCGCCCCAAAATTCGCTAGCTTGGAACAGCTGTAATTCTAGCGCTGGCGCACGGTATGAGGTATATCATTGTCTTTACTGACGTCACTTGTGGGTATGTAAACACCCTCCGAAGCGGAATGGGAGCGCAGCATGTCGCAGCGGCGTCAGCGGAGCCCCGCCCGAGACAGCCTGCGACTGCAGCGCCGCATTACGCTGGATTAGAGCAACTACATGTACTGGCATTGGCACATGTCATGAGAAGACCAGTGATCGTCTTCGCTGATGTGGCTTTAAGAGTAAGTTGATATAACACTTTCTTATAAACTCCGCCCATTATTGTATTGGGCTTAACAACGCCCCGCCCCAAAATACGCTAGCTTGGAACAGCTGTTCCAAGCTACGCTGCTAGCGCCGCACTACGCTGGCTTGGAGCAACTTCATGTATTGGCGTTAGCGCATGTTATGAGACGACCTGTGATTGTCTTTGCTGACGTAGCGTTACGGGTAAGTAGACGTGAAAAGCGTATTTGATTCCCTCTATAAGCCCCGCCCATTCTTGTATTGAGGCTTAACAAAGTCCCGTCCCAAAATACTCTAGCGGAACCGCTGTAACTACTGGCGTTGGCGCATGTTATGAGACGACCTGTCATAGTCTTTGCTGACGTAGCGTTACGGGTATGTTGTCATAGAACTTGCATCTGATAGCCTATATTACTGTCCAGCATGATGGAGAGTGAGTAGGTCAAATCCTCCAATTGCTTCTAGTAAATTAGAGAGGATCTCGTCTTTCTAATGGGAACCAAATTTTATAAAGAACTAGCGGCCGCCCGCGACTTCGTACGCGAGGACCCCGTTTTACCCTTAGGGGTGAAGTTTCGAGTTTTTTAGGGTTTACCCGGAAATTATTCAAACTTTTCTCGCTGTAAAAACCATCCTTGGACTTCAACAAACATTTAAAAAAAAGAATTGGTAAAATTGGTCTAGGCGTTGTTGAGTTATGCGCTTACCAACACATTTTGCGATTCATTTTTATATTATAGAAGATATGTCAGAATATCTAATACTAGCTGTGCCCGCGACCTCGTACGCGTGAAAACCCGTTTTCGCAACATTTTTCATTGTTGCTCTGCTCCTATTGATCGTAGCGTGATGTTGTATAGCCTATAGCCTTCCTCGATAAATGGGCTATCTAACACTGAAATAATTTTTCAAATCGGACCAGTAGTTCCGGAGATTAGCGCGTTCAAGTAAACAAACAAACAAACTCTTCAGCTTTATAATATTAGTATAGTTTTTACGAGTGTTTTTAATCACAGGAAGTGAGATAAAGACTTTCTGTGTCAGACCTAAGTTAACTCTGTCAAATTACATAAAATACACATTTAATTACAGGACTTCCGTGGCGACCCCATAGCACCGATTCCGTTCGGCGGCATCTATCTCCCACTAGAACTCGACCCAGAGTCGTGCAGCAAAGCGCCGATACTGTTGGCGTATGACGCTGGTCACTTCTCAGCGCTAGTTCCCACGGAGCCACTGCCTACAGATGGCGCTAGGGTGCCGTTGGAAGACCAAACGGGAAACCCACTGCCGATCAGGTAATAATATTTTCCTTTGCTGGTTTATGTTCTTGAGATCGCTAAACATGTACAGTACCCAGCAATAAATATTGCACATCGACCTTTGGAAAGAGAATCGGTTAATTTCGGCTCGTAGAGCGTTATCTCTGTCGCACACTACCTATACGATTGACAAAACGTCATTGACAAAACATTATTCAATGAAAATATTGTCCGAACTCTTAGTATTTCTCTTCGACAAATACTTTAACACATTGTGAACCACTTTTCTTTCACGACTATAAAAAGTTTTTAACAATTTAATTCACAAAATCAATTGCACACATTTAAAATAAAGTTTGTTTACGCTTTGACAAAACGTCATTGTCAGTCGTTGTTCAAGTGCGACAGTGATAACGCTCTACGAAACCGAAATTAGTTGATTGTCTCTTTCTAAAGGTCGATGTGCAATATTTATCGCCGGGTACCTATTGTATCTTTTAATCAGACAATTTATAGCTGACTTGCTTTCACCCGCGTGAAATTTAGTTTGTCACAGATTGTCATAAATTATAGCCTATATGTTATTCTGGGTTATAAACAATAATACTATAAAGTTTCATCAAAATCCGTTCAGTAGCTTTTGCGTGAAAGAGTAACAAACATACATCCATCCAGAAATCCAAACTTTCGCATTTATAATATTAGTAGGATGTAAATGGAATACAAAATAGGAATTATTGTCTATTAACTCGTAGAGCTAATGGCCGTTGGGCAGAAAAAATCCTGAGTGGTGAGACCAGCACGGACCAGAAGAAGTAGAGATCCTTAGGGATGGAATCTTTAGGGAAGACCTTTTTCCAGCAGTGAACGGGCATAGGTTAAAACGACTACTACACTACTGAATTGACTAAAAACTGAAAGTTACATAATTATCTTATCTTTTCCTTCATGTACAAAATACATTGTCAAACCGCATTTTGATAGCTCATAAGGACTTCGATTGACTACTATGTTCCGAATCTTCCAGATTCAACGTAGACCCAGGCGATGACTTCCGTTGGGACATAGAACCTGACCAGAAGACGATCAACAACCTTCTACCTGATGAGTACCAGCGTTCCGCCATGTTGGCTGCGTACTTAGACCTTGAGAGAGTGGAGTGTCTCACGCAACAGCCTTCGGAAGAACTGAGGAGGTCTCTGGATGCACTGTCTACGAAGAGCTCTAAGCAGATGAACTCGGTTGCTAAGCAGTTTGGTAAGTCTTTGTCAACCTTCTTATGTGTCCAATGATGCATATCATACGTCATTCGTGACGCTAAAAAACGGGACTTATAGTTCCAAAATACTGAACTGTCCTATCAATGACATTGACAGTGGGGCGCCACCGTCAATACCGGATCGCTGGTTCCGATTTTTGCCATGTTGGAAACCATATAGTTGAACGATGGTAGCGCCCCCTGGCATTGAGTTTGGTGGGACAGTTCAGCGTGGGTCATCTATATCCCACCACACTTCAATATAGCCAGGATCTACAGCTTGGCCTCCAATAAATTCCAACCAGTTGAGGTTGAATTGAGCCCTGTGATATGTGACGCTAGTTCGATACCGCTAGACTATCATGGTGAACCCACTGCTCATACAAGCGTATACAGGGTGGAAACGATTATGTGATCTCACTCGATTATTTCTAAACTGTACAAGATATCGAAAAACTGGTTACCGATCCTGAATGTGCTTCACGAGCTCTATCAAACGATATCAATAATAGGTTACAAAATAAACTGGATCTATCCGAAAATTCAATTTTTCCAGCTTCCTTGTATCTGTTATCTGTTTTTTTGTTATCTGATTTTGTGTGCTATATTTTAAGTTGGAACCAAATAAATGTTTTTCTTTCTTTCTTCCGTACATTTAGTGCAACACTATTTTTAAACCTCCTTTATTCCCCAACAGGTAGCATAGGCAGACAAATGAGTAGCAAACTAAAGAAGAACTTCGGTTCTATGGCCAAGCTGACCGGGAGAGGAAGCCATAGCAATCCAGAGGAAGGTCTAGCGAGACTTTCTAGAACCTGTGAAGTGGTGTGTTGTCGAGTATTGGCTGCTAGAGCGCCTGTGCAGGAAGAGATGGTCAAGAATTACCTAAACGAAGCGTGGATTGGGTAAGTTCTAAGATGTGGTTGTTAAGGCTACGCAGAAAAAGGCCTATTGCCCCTTCAAGACATGCGAGGTTGTCTCCTGTCAAGTACGGGCTGCTAGAGCGCCAGTTATACATACAGGGTGTCCCAAAATTAGCACGTCACACTGACATGCTAATTTTGGGCTGACTGACGGAGATAGATGGGCCTGATATGCATCGAACAACGCATGCGTCAAGTGCATTAGCTAATGTACATATATAAACCGATTTATGTAGTAACCAACTAGCAATAGCTTTCAGTGGTTAAATGAGAAAAATGTGAGATGGTCTTTTGTTTCACTCTTTGGGGAAATCTTACGTACCGCCATTATTGATACAATATTTTATGTCTGTTGAAACAGAAAAGATATTTGTCGGCCGTTTGGTGTAGTGGTTCGAAACGGACTACTATTCCGGAGGTAGCGGGTTCGATTCCCGCACAGTACAAACATTTGTGTGCATGAACATATTTGTTTGTATTGGACTGGGTGTTTTCTATCCCAACTAATATTATAAATGCGAAAGTAACTCTGTCTGTCTGTCTGTCTGTCTGTCTGTCTGTCTGTCTGTCTGTCTGTCTGTCTGTCTGTTACGCTTTCCCGCTTAAACCTCGCAACCGATTTTGATGAAATTTGGCATAGAGATAGTTTGAGTCCCGGGAAAGAACATAGGATAGTTTTTATCCCGGTTTTTGAAACAGGGACGCGCGCGATAACGTTTTTCTGTGACAGACAAAATTCCACGCGGGCGAAGCCGCGGGCGGAAAGCTAGTTGTATAATAAGTATGTATTTACAAAAAAAAAGTATTTAAGTATGTTTATATCCGTTGTCTAGTACCCATAGTACAAGCTTTGCTTAGTTTGGGACTAGAAGCGCAGTGTAAAATGTCTAAGGATATTTATTTATTTATTTATTTATTTTATTTTACTGCCTTTTTACTTACGACCTACCTTTCATTCTCAGGTATACAGCAGAAAAGAACCGCAAAGAAGGCACACCGCCGGCCTCCCAGCCTCGCTACGGCACCGGCCGCTCGCAGTTCTACGCGGAGGCCTCACGGGCCGCCCATGACGTGGCCCGAGGCCTCGCTCCAAAGTCCAGCCGTCCTGCCCGGGATCGAACCTTGTACCTTTCCAAATCCACCTTCTACGACGACCGTCCGCCGTCACCGAAGCCCTGCCGAGCCCCACTGTGTATGTACTACGGTAGTCCCGCTAATAATGATTACTGTTCAAGGTGTGCGAGGCTGCAATAAATGGTTTTAGTTTTTAGTGTAAGGATAATAATTGGCAGTGTTCTGTGTAGAGGCAGCTGCGAATGGTTAGAGGATGCGTGGAACTAAAATCGATGACCTGTAAGACAATTGGTATGATAAGGCGATGCTATTGTAGTTTCGTGCATAGACAATTCCAACCTAGAAATACACCCCGTATTAGTTGTTACCACTGCTTAGAAGACATATTTTTCAAAGAAAATAAAAAATATTTTTATATGTATAATCGGTACATAAAAACGTTTTAGTATATACTAAAGCCTGGTCCGTAAACACGTGGAATTTTGTCCAATGACCCCAAGCTACCCATCCTTATCGCTCGCTATCCTTGTCGCGCTCGCACACTTACTGCGGGCGCCCGTCGCACAGTCGCGACAGCAATATAATTACGCGCGAGCGGTAAGGATGGGTAGCTTGGGGTCATTAGACAAAATTCTACGTGCTCACGGACCAGGCTTTACCTGACTTTGTATTGACTATTGATTTTAGTTCCACGCACCACTGCATCTGCAACCCAATAAATATAAGCAGGGCTGTATGTGCTTCCAGCTATGCTTATTTATCTCTCAAGTTGAATAAAACATTTTTGCGTATTGAATACCATATTTTATCAATCAATTCTCATTCTAAATATGTTTTTTGGAACATCCTGTATTTGCCTGGATATTGCGTTATCCCATAAATTATATACAACTGCAATTAAGCGCAGTAGTTGCTGCAAAAATCAATCTTATTTCTTTGATAATAAAGGCGATCTCAATCAATGTTAAGGCGATGTTGGGTCTTATGTGTGTATTGGCAGCTTGCAGTTAAAGAAAATTGACTAATTTAAAGTTTGTTTTCTGTACTTATTCGAGTAATTGAATCATAGACAATAAGAATAGATAAAACAAAGTCAACATAAACCTACGTCTAAGTGCCGCTATAATGCGAGTAAGTTCGAAATATTCGATTTCGAGTTTCAAGTTTAATTATGCAGTTTATTTTTACTGATGTAGCTATTCTTGTAATTAATATAATCTATAAAGTGTCGATTCAGACAAAGCTAAAACTCAAGTATAAATTCATTATGACCGACTACAGCTAAGAAAGACTGTTAACATACATGCGAATCCACATCTTCGGTTGGAGTCTTCTAGGACTAATATTGTTTATTAATATATTTCAATTTACTTCCATAGAAGCTAATAAAAACTTTAATCTAAAGTTCAATTGCGAATATTAAGTTTATAAGAACACAAAGGGTTTACAAATATGTTTGTGTATTTTGCTTACGCAATGATACTTAACTGACATGAAACTCGTTATGTTAGGAGTATATTTATATTTAAGTAAGTGTTTTTTTACGTTTTGTCATTTCTTAGGTCGTTAAGCACGTCTTAATATTAGCCTATATCTGGGTTAGCTTGAATTTCCGACGTTAATGGCACAAGTACACTGCGCAAAATTGTTCAAGTCGAAGCGCTAGCCCGCACACCGAAGTATGGGCGACACACGGGTGGAAGAAGTAGAAAGTAACCGAGATGGTGTTCACACTTACGTCTTGGTCAATTTCCCGCATAGTGTACTTGCGCCATAACAGTAGGATGAGGATCAAATTATAATGGCTGCGCTTAGTGGCAACGTTTATTATTATTTATCATAAAAGGTTTATGTGATTATTAACCGCAAAACAAACTGACAGCTACACATTAATGTTTTAATCCAGATGTAGACTAATCCTATACTGTGCGAATAGATTGTATGCTAGTGATAAGAATGTTATTTAGTTCATAAAATGAGGCACCTTATTTACTCCTAATTAAACTAATCAAGCATAATAATAAAAAAAACGGTACTTTTGAGTATGTCATATACAGGGTGAGTCAAATCACTGAACTACGCGCTAAAAAATCCGCTTTAACTTTATTCAAAATAAATTAATTGGCTTTAGATTTGACTCCCCCTGTATTATTTTAACAGAACAGTCTTCTCTTATCAACATTGTGATTAAACAAGTGCCAAATGTGGCTTCTAATTTTTTACAAAGATTTCTTTCGATCACACGGAAGTATGTGTAACTAATGTGTTCAAAATTCAGTGCCAGGGAATTTGGGTAAAGTAAATTTGGACAATACTAGGCAAGCGAACATGAGGGTACATTTCACGCGTTTTTTACATAAAATGTTTTGAAATGGTCAGTTTCTTTTACGACGTACAAAGCAGTATGTCCTGTTGGAAGACTAAATTCGGACGTTTATGCTCAGAATGCCAACTTCTCAAAATGCCAACCGCTCGCAAAAAGACAACTTCGCAGAATGCCAACTTCTTCGGAGTTACCGGGTCTCAAAGTGTCATTTTTTTATATGAGTTACATAATGTACTCACGGCTTCAGAGTTGTTGAAATTCATAGATTATATTTTGCTAATTTAATCCAATTCAATGATTAAACGCCTCCGTGATCTAGTAGTAAATGAGACTCTTGACTCGGATGTTCTAAGTTAGATTCCAATATGGGACACATGGAACTATAGTTGATCCGTGAAGCATTAAATTGGACTAGTGTTGACCTTAAATTTTAAGGCACTCTATAGAAAAAGATTAAATAAAATTAGTTGCGTGGCATGCATGTCACATGCGTGCCTCTCTTGGGTTTAGTACGCACTTCCCGAGAACATTTATGTAAATAATACCCTATAAAAGGTTGATTAAAAATAAAAATTATACACACTATCATACAGGACATACTGCATTTCGATAGTTTCCTCGATCTCTAAAAGAGAACTGAGATGGAATGTGTACAAAACTATATTTTTTCATTTGATCACCCATCTACCTCATACAAAACAACAGTGTATTAGACACATATCTAATAAGTGTTACAAACAGTTATTGGATTTGTAATGGTGTTTTTGGACTCAGGGTATTTCAAATGCACTATATTTTATGATACTGACTATGTTATGATATTTTCTCATTGTTACTCATTAAACCCTAATATAACATGAGCTTGGAGTGTGTCTCCGTCCTTATTTTGCTTGATTAAGAAAAATATATTTTGATAAAAGTAAAAAATGATCTTCTAGTCGTAAGGTGGAACTCTTAATTCTTTTTTCACATATTTTACTTGATTCACAATTGTATAACATAAGCATGTTAAGAAAATATATGAAAAGGGAACAGAGAGACCACCCTGTATTTTAGAATAAGTTTGTTAGCGTACGTGTGATGTAATTTAAGTGATTAATAAAGTATTAAGTTTGTATAAAACTCGATTGCATAGTCTAAAATTAATATTTATGTACGTTGAAACTTTGTTTCCCACCTGAGATGTTTCTATGAATTTAATTCAGCTTATTTTATTATTTTCATTGCAAAAACTGAATATAAAAGATCTGTTTGATAAGAAAGTAGAAAACATGACAAAATACTTTATTACTCTGACTAAACTTTATTATAATAGGTACTTAAATGTATATAAAGAAGAAAGTATAACATTAGAATCCAGTTAACACAGATGGTAAATGTTTATTTTTTCATAATATGTAACAAATAGAGAAAACATATCATGTTTTGTAGTGATATAAAAACGGTTATTATGCAATTCAAGCCTTTTATTTATACCACAACTCTTATGTTATAAATTGGTTATAAATCCTACACCTTCTATCGAGTATCGATAATAATAATTTAAAAGAAATGGTATGGATACTATTGGTAGTGCATATCACATTGACATGCAAAGCCAAATACTGGCATTTTATATGTATAGCCGTACAAGTGCGTTTTTGCACCAAAAATGTAACAAATAAACATATACATTATAAATAACAGATACAATTTTGAAGAATGACCGATCATGGACATTGGCACCAATTTGTTGGCACGAAAACCATTACAATATCGATACTCATAGTTCTCGATATTATCGCATTATAAGTTATCGATGTTACAAACTATATTTTTTTAGTAGAGCACTATCCATACGATTGCTTTTTGTTCTCGAAAGATCTTTCAGTTTCGGAATCTCTAATTATTTTCCTTTAATACAGTTACAGTTATGTGTCCAAAAGGAAATAAAGAACTAAAAATTAAAAGATTATCCCAACTAATATTATAAATGCGAAAGTAACTCTGTCTGTCTGTCTGTCTGTCTGTTACGCTTTCCCGCTTAAACCTCGCAACCGATTTTGATGAAATTTGGCATAAAGATAGTTTGAGTCCCGGGAAAGAACATAGGATAGTTTTTATCCCGGTTTTGAACACAGGGACGCGCGCGATAAAGTTTTTCTGTGACAGACAAAATTCCACGCGGGCGAAGCCGCGGGCGGAAAGCTAGTTATAAATTAATTTTTCTGTTTTTTTATGCTCAAAATCCAAGGCCCAGTTCCAGAACTTTAACTTAATAATTAAAAAAATAAATCGTTCAGAAATTTTCATGCGTCAAAAAAGCTAAAACAAAGAAAATTAATACATACGTTGCAGAGCGTTGCCGCATAAAAATTAAATAAATCAATAAAACATTTTATAATACGTTTAAAAGTAAGATTCTCGTCATATTTTATTACTTGAAACCTAATTTATCGAAAAAATTCAATGCCAAATCGAATCAATTCGAATCGAGTTTTGATTTCCGGACAGTACTTTAAAATGTCAACAAGCTTCGTGTCGAAATCTATGATGCTTTGCGTTTTTCCTGAATAAATTAATAAAATAAATGTAAATAGGCAATATCACCTGTTCGAATTATGTCTGGGGGGCTAATAGATAAAGTGTACATAGGCTTGGATAATGCGCCGGCCGCATTCGACATCAAAGGACGAATCCTCGGCCCAGTGAGTGCATCCGACCGATTGTACTTTATTTTTGTAGTTTCAGCATCGTAAACGCTGATCGTCTCATGTAATTTACAGAACAGCACCAACTTGGAGTACATTCGTTCGGAGACAGGTGTCGTGGCGGTGTTGAAAAGTGAGAAATTCGAGCCGCTGCATCTGGCTTTGCATCACACGAGATCGGAGGCTTTGGCGGCCGCGAGGTCGTTGGCGCAGAATCTGATCGAGACGATAAGGGCCGAGCTGGCGCAATGGAGCGCCGCGCAGGCCGGGGGCCCGCCGCCGGCGCTGAACGTTCCGCCGCCGACTCTCAGCACCACAGCTGCGCCGCCGCCCGTCCCGCCGCCGCCGCCGCCGGCCGTCGCGACCGCCTCGCTGTCCACGCCGACCTCCATGACGCCCGCCGTCATGCCCCCCGTCGTCAGCGTGGCCCCCGCCGCCCCCCTCATGACCGTTCGACAACCGACCGTCCTCCAACTTCTACCTCAGCAGCAGTATGTCTTGAACCAGGAGAACGGGCAGCTCATCCCTATAGTCCAACCTGGGGTCCAGGTTTCCAACACAAACTTCACGTCGCTACCTATAGCGCAACCTCTGGGCTTGCAGCAACCTAATTTTGGCACACAGTTGGTTGACATATCGAGCATGCAGCCTGTGAATGTGACGCAGTTACGTCTCAGTGGTGTTCCGTCTTCCATGTCTATGATTTTGCCGAATGGTTTGACTTTCCCGCAAGCGAATCTGGCTGGGACGGACACTACAACTGTGAATGCGACAGCTACGCCCGTTGTCTGTGCAGCTCAGAGTAACTCGTCCCAAAAGATTTTGTACACCGATAAGGGTGATAAAGATGGCAAGTATCACATCCAAGGGGCTGACACTGTGCAGTGGACAATGCCTGGGTCACAGACAATGCTAATTCCATATCAACAATTGCAAGATTTGACATCTAATCAAGCAGGATTAGCAAATTTGCAAGCACAGCAATATGTGTCTGTAAGTACTAATTATTTACGTTTCTTACATATCTCTGACATAAATCAATAATCTTATTGCTCTAGCTAGATGCTATGAAAATAAAAACAATGATGAAACTACTTTATTTCCTTTTGTAAAAGATGTTATAATAAACTTTGTGTTCCCAGTGTATCATAATAATTATTATGACCATTATATTAATTGAGTGATGTAATATTTTCCAGATTGCCCCAGCTGGCACTTTACCACAGTCATCACTGCCCCTAACGGCAACTCAGTTGCAGCAGCTTCAAACGGGAACTATTATGCAGCTTAATCAAAAGGTAAAGACTGCTTGTTATGATAACAATTCCTCTTATAAGAATAAAAAATCTATTTTGAGAAAACTGAGTATGACATTAATTTTGAAATATACACTTCAGTATTATATGCAGCAAAAATATTTAATTACTTTTTTCAGCCTCCTTTAGAGATGTTTCTGTTGATCAGATTAATTTCATTAAAATTAGAAGGCAAAATTATCCAAAATAATACAGATTTTTCTACTATCCAAAAGAAAAAAACAAGCAGAATCATCTCTCAAAGGAATCCAAAATATCTAGTTGGTAGACCAATGTGTTTTCAAAGAAAATGTATGTATTTTGAATTCCCCAGCCGATAGTGAGCAGTGGTTCTTTGATAAACATAATATCGACTGGACAGGCGTCATCGCCGCAAATTTTTACTGTGAGCATTAAGCAGCATAAGTACTGTTCACATCTTATGTCACCCTTAACAGCTTTAAACCTACCAATGCTGTTTTCGCTCATTCTTTATTTCGTTACTTATGTGGGCTCTTAACGCGGGCGATATATTATTGTATGAATTAAAATTAAAAATGAATGAAGGAAAGTGTATCGCTCACGTAAAAAGTCTCGCCCCCTTAACCACAATATTTTGACTCCAGCTATTTCAATCCACTGGGTTTTTGTTCTTGGTCTGCTTTCGTTGTATTCATTCACTTGTCCTCAATTTGTTTTTCCTTTGGTGTTTAGGTGTCTGATCTCATCACATCTTTGGTTTAAATTATAATTTAAGTTGTTTTTTAGTTTGTAACCTAAATGTAACCCATTTCTTAGCAAAAATAGCCTTGCACTAATCTTTTCTTTTGCGTCAATACTTAAAGTTATTCCATTAATTTATTTCCCTAATCATGCAATACATGAATTGCTTATCACCTAACACATTTCATAAACTAATAAAAATTGTGTTAATTTCTATGACAATAATAATGTTTGTCTATTATGTTAATTTTAGAGTTCATCAACACCGACTAAAAATGTGAATCATGAAGTCCGAGGACAGAAGAGGTTATCGGACGGTACCCCCAGCCAACTGCAACTCAGGCCAATAGCCCCAGCGGGGTAAGTCCTAGAAATAAGAAACCTCCATTAATATACTTCATTTTTTACTTTCAGCCCAGTCCTGAATATAATCAAAACATTTAAAATTGCAATCTTTTCCATGTCAATTTAAGTAAAAAATGTTTTAATCATATCTAATCAACTTCAAACCTTACGGAAACGACATTGTTCTTGTTAAAATTTTAAGGACTTTAAGCAATTGGCGTTAAAACTCGTCGTTTCTTCAAGGAAGAAGTTTCTACTACGAGCGGAGTTCTCCGGAGCAGCTGCGGTCTTCAATTTAGTTTTAAGAATAATTCATTTTCATTTCACAATCATGAGCTTCTTCATCATTCATTTACTTAACTGCAATCAAATGATGACGGAGCTTATGAAAAAAATCATAGCATTGCTAGCAGATAACCGTACCTAACAGAGAACTCTAAAGCCTAAGCTCTAAGAGTTATTTTCGACTGGAAGACGAAGATCCCTGAGGAGACTTTGATATGTTTGTACGATGTGTGTGTGAATTGTAACCATGTGGTCTCCAGGTCGCATGTACCGCAGGAGAAGAGCTCGGCGAGAGAGTCCCGAAACTGGACCGCAGCCGCAGGTATTTTGACAGCCGAGATTGTGTCGTAACTGAGGCGAATTCTTGAAACCAACCTTTTGATTGCGACATAAAGTTCAAACTTAAGGGGCCTGTTTAACTAGAGATCTGTGAAGATCGTTTTCTATGATCTAATCTAATCATAGAGAATAGGATCATAGAGACATTATCACAATGATTTTTATTAAAAAACAAACACATACCTGCTTACCATGTATGTCGTGACATTTCTATTCTATCAGTACGGCTAGCACGAAAAAATTTCGAGTTCGAATCGTTTGCGTATTCGTATCGCCATCAAAAGATTTAGTACGAAAACTACAACAGCGTCCTTGTGAACGTGTCGTAAAGTGAACTTAGTATGAGAAATGGTTGCACAAAACTTATTTAGAGAATCAAAATTGTCACGTTATCGTTTAATTCGAAAGTTGAGTATCGAATTTTGTCGAATACGCAAACGATTCGAAGACGAAAGTTGTTCATGCTAGAGGTACTGACATACTGCATAGTTTACAAAAAACTAGTGTTTGTATGTAATACATTTTTGACGCGGAATTCAAAGTCGAAGCATTTTGACGAAGGCATAGGTAAACACCGAAAATAGGAAACTGATGTCACCGAAATAATAATTTATTTTGACTTCAATAATAGCACTATTACTCTTTGTTTTTACATTTAACACAATGTAACGTAGTTAATTAAAAAGTCGAATAAATTAAGACCTGGTAAACACTAGAATTTCCAAAATTCTATGTGGAAATCCGGTTGTTCGGGATTTCCACACGACAAATTACAAGCAAGATAGATTACTCATACATAATTTCCTACCGCTTGGGTAGTTTGTCAGTTTTCTTAGAAAGCCAACAGAATCATTTATTACAACTACGTAGCTGCCACGATGTTAAACTTGATTTGTCGTCCCTTCAATACTTTATTATAAAAATAATTGGTCTCAGTTACGATTACGCTTTTGTAAACTGTTTTAATGTATATGTATTTTAACTTTTAATGTACAGTCGATAGCACATGAGACTACACATGTTTGTTGCCAAACTAACCCCTATTACTACCTTATTAGACCTTTTTTTGTCACCTTTTATCCGCTTTGCAATGGAGGGAAGTCGAACTTTAACTTCGAACTCCTCCTATGTTCTTCTGATTAATTTCGTTGCGGGTCCAATGACAGTTTAACTTTCCTCCGGGACAAACTTGACCCTTCACTGTTTGGGTTTTTATTGGCGGTCAAGCTGTAGATCCTGGATACACAGGAGTTGCAGCGGTGGGAACGAGAGTTGGGAATAGTCCCGTACCATATATGCCACAGTGTCAAACTTGATGTGCCATCGTCTGATTCTATAGGCTTTGCGTAAATTGCGTAGGTCAAGTGAAAATGCCCTTGCGTAGCTAGCTACAAAAGTACAAACTGATCGAGTTGATTGCGTACCGAGCCGTGACGTCACATCGACGCTGGTACGGACGGGGCGAACGCGGGGAGGTGTGCAGTGGGAGGGAGAGTCGCATACCAGCGAGGTGCGCATTTACAGAGTAAATACAAATGAGTAGGTCATCTTCATAAAAACGCACGGGCGCGGTTTGTATGTGAGCGCGGCAACACGTATGCGGCGCGCACGCACACACTGACAAAATTTAGCAGTTCACAGCGTGTCAGTGTGTGCGTGCGCGCCGCAAACGTATATTGGCGCGCTCACATACAAACCGCGCTCGGTGCGTTTCTATGAAGATGACCTACTCATTTGTATTTACTCTGGCAGTGAGCTCGATCGGGTTGTACCTCTTGTTTTTGCATTATGCTTTTGCGTAATTATATTCAGTTATTTTTCGCTAAAACGTGTTATATTTAAAGGATTAGCATTTGCGCGTAAAACGTAAAAAATATGGCGTAGTTTGAACATTGACGAATGATCGCAAGGAGCAGTGACCCTTTTTGAGGCAAACATGTTATTATTAACATATGTCTTCTGATACTCGTGCGATCTTTATTCAATTCAAACTTCAATGTATTTTTGAACAGACAAAAAGTTTTCTGTAAACTACGTATATTATTTAAAAATAGTGCTACTTACAATAATACTACAAAATATGGTCTCTAAAAATCTATGTGTACTTAATGGTGCTTTAAGTATTTGTTGATGTTTAATGTTGTGCACAGCGTAATCTATATTGGTGGCTCTCTTGAGCCATAGTAGAAAGATATTAGTTTATTTAGGCATTAGAGCACTTAGCGTAATTTACTACACTACAATCTTTGTGTCAACTTTAAAACCTACATGGAAACTTAATCACTAGAATTTCCTTACATTATTTTAAAATTTCATCAAAATCTGTCCAGTAGTAATATGTATAGAAAACATTTATATTAATATTTAAGCTGGCCTCAGACCACGTCAAATTAGCGTAGCGTAAACCTCAATTATTTATTATTCGTGAAACAACGGCGGCAACGGCGTCTTATTTTAATTGTTTTAATAAGTTTTATGTTGATTGTTCTTACCAAAGTACCTCCTGTGTGCATCAGCGTTTATTTTGTTATTAGCATTGCGTAATTAAAGAAATTAGTTTCTTTCAAAAAATTTTTGACGCGTGCAGAAGCGTAAAAGTTTAAAAAAATATATTTTATAAAAAGTTGACACCCATTCTCACAAAAATTTGCGCTTTTTTTTTGTAGCAACTTGTGTCGCCATTATCGTTTTCCCTTGGCCCGATGCGTAACCCTCTAATTTGTATGTCGAAAATCCTTGCATGTAATATTTTCCAGATTTGTAGTTTATAATGGAAGCAGTTTTTGAAGGAGAATTCATGAAGAAACTACAATATGTATTTAAGGCGACAAGTTGTCCGGAGCTCGCGTCGTCAATTCGTCATACATAAAAATGGCAGCAGTAGCAGAATTGAGAATTATAAGTTTTGTTGCTTTTATTTCTTAGGTTTATCTTTTGGCATTCGATCCTGGGAAGACCTCAGTTGCTGTTAAGCTGAAGTAGCTGATTCAGAATTCCAGACGAAACTTATCCACGTTTTTTTATATTGAACCCTCTTTAATTCTCTCCCTGCATGTTTTATCTGTTTTTTACGTAAAGTTCATAATATTTTTTTCATTTTACCAAACAAAACTAGCATGTAGTTTTGTACATACTGTGGTAACATGAAAAATGGCATTAACGTTAAGTACTTATTTTAACATTTATTTGCGTTCTAGAATTATGCGTAATTCGGATAACATATTCATGAGGCAGATTTGCGTAATCGCTAAGCGTAACTTTTTATGATTTTAATTAATAATTTTGAGTATAACACGGCATTAGCGTAATTCATAGCGTCAGCGTAATTTGTAGCGTCGAGTGAAGTAAATAGTTTATTTTTGTAATCCTGCCATATTTTCCTGCAGCTAGAGACAACACTGTGGTCAGTATGGGAATGAAAATCAACCCCGCCCACGGCACCATTATACACGTGTCTTCTGGTCAGCAGACAAAGTAAGAAAAATCCTAATTTCTTCCCCCACTAATAGATACACTTTTTGACGACCCCTTAAACTTTGATTTACCCATTTGTTCACAGCGTATCAGCTTCAGGAGTGACACAAGACGGAACGGGAATGTACATACGGCAAATAGACAGAAACTCCATTCAAATACAATCTAGCAAAGACGGCCAGAAGCAGGATTTATCGGCGAATAAGCAAATACAGAGCACGGCACAGAATGTGCAGATGATAACCGTGCCGCAGGGGATGACAGTCCTGCAGAATCCTCTGAACATCGGCCAGATGCCCACCATGATCGGGCAGCCCAATAGTCAGGTTTACATGATACCTGCCAACCATCCGAATCTCGTCCAAACTGGAGGACTGCCCCCGGGACTCATCGGCCAACAGGTCCTCCAACCGGGTCAGAACGTCACGGTGATGCAGCCGAATCAATTGGCCATGCCCGGTGGCGTCCAGTACAATGTGCCGTTTATGAACATGCCAAACTCTCAATACATGCCTGGTATAAATCTAAACACGCAGCTATCGGCCCAGCAGCTCAACGCGGCCTTAGCCGGCCAGCAACTGGCGAATCCTAACCTCATGTCGGGGACCATCCCCATAGTCCAGGCGCCTCCACCGTCTTCCCCGATGGCGAACCCTGCTCAAACCATCCCGGTGTCTCAACCGCCGCCCGTGCATCAAATCGTGCAACAAAATCCCTACGGAACACCCACCTCGCAGTACGCCGGAATGCCTCCACAGTACATGATGCAGGCGAACTCTAGTGCCATAACCGTTCCTACTAACAACCCTAATGTACAGTACACAATTCCCAATAACCAGAGCACTAATCCCCCCGCGAGCAACGGCAATGGCCAGTCTAACAACTCGAGCGACACTGACACTAGCAACGGCGCCACTAACCAAACTAATTACATCACTTCCTCATCACAAGAAAGCTACGCGATGTCGACGGCGACCAGCGTACAGAATCCTCAGCAAAGCTATCAGTCTGATTCGACGAACCAGGCGACGGCGTTCCCCCCACCGAATCAGCCTTCTACCCCACCGAACTACGGCAACTCGAATGGCAACGGCCAGGCGGCGGCGTACAACGTGAGCCAGACGACCACCGCGCAGCCGCCGCCGAATTACAACCCGAACGGAAGCAACGGGTCGAATCCTCAGGCAGCTAACCAGGGCTACGGGCCGGCGACGACGCCCATATCCCAGAACAATTCCCAGAGCAGCTTCTCGCCGTCGACGACGCCGGCGCCGAACCAGTCTTACCCGACGACGAATCTCCCGAATATGCCGAATGTGGCGTACCCACCGAATCAAGCGCCGCAGAATCCGTATCCGAACGCGACTGGGCAGAACTTGGCAGCTTACGCGAACAACCAGTACCAGTACACTAGCAGGCCTTGGTTCCGGCCGCGCTACACGTCTCCGCAGGGCTCGCCCTACAGCTCGGGCGCCGGGCCGCCCGCCGGGCCGCCCATGCCCGTGCCTCCTCCGTCTGCCAACTACAACTACTGGCAGGATAGTTGAGAGTGTGACATTCTAGAATTGGACACGATTTCAAGTGACGAATCTATGTTTTATAACTACAATCAATATCAGTGAACATAAATACTGTACGTAGATATTATTATTGTTTAGCGTAAGGTAGAATAAAGAAAACTGCTTTAATTGAAAAATGATTTATGATACATTTATAAAATGTAAAAATATGTAAGAAAACTAAATTGTATAAATAAAATTAATGAAGCATTCCATAATATTTTTCTTTGTGTTAGTCTGTCACAGAAAAACTTTATCGCGCGCGTCCCTGTTTCAAAAACCGGGATAAAAACTATCCTATGTTCTTTCCCGGGACTCAAACTATCTCTATGCCAAATTTCATCAAAATCGGTTGCGAGGTTTAAGCGGGAAAGCGTAACAGACAGACAGAGTTACTTTCGCATTTATAATATTAGTTGGGATTAAGACAAAATGCTGATGATGATCAGAGATCAGAGGGTACTCTCAGACCATAAACCATTTCTCCAGATAAAGGCCTCTACCTCATTTACTTCATCGTGTCTATGGCCAATGGCCTACGTCAACTTTGATTCATGATTTGAGATACGCTGTCACTTTTGCAAACTACATTTCGGTTTAAAAATGAATACCGAGAATCGTTACCCTGTAACAGCCTCGTTATTTATGCTTCGAGAGATCAAACACCGTCAGGAGCAAGTGCATCGAGGGTACCAGCTCTTGAGGCGTAAGGCCGAGGCTCTGCGTCTTCGAGGAAGGCAGGCGGCAGCTGAGCTTGCTTCCACCCAGGCCATCCTAGGGCACACCTTGAGGGAGGCCTACATATCGCTGGCTGCTGTCAAGTTCACTAACGGAGAGTCTAATGCGATGGTGTTGGAGAATATTGGCCAGGTTATGCAAACTTTTTACTTGTTTCCTTACTAAGTATCAATAACATTTCTGATACAAGACGTCCATTTGCTTAATATTAGACCTTCCCGATTAATTTTTAGATTGGCTGAAGCGGTCCTTCCTTTGTTAAAGTGACCATTACAGCCAGTTTAAACCTCCATTCCGTCGCCTATAAGTAAGATTTATAGGTAGCTTAGTAGAATACAGGTAGTTTGTGCATGGAAGTTTTAAAATAAATACATCTCTAAAGGCTCAAGTCAGAGTCCAGCGAATCCCAGAAAACATATCCGGAGTCGCTACTGTCTCCTTACAAGCGGTAGAAGACGCGACCGTGAGTGATGCCCTGCGGTATGCCGGCTTAGGTGCAGGAGGCCACCGCACTGGTGAAGCCAAGAAGGCCTTCCGCGAAGCCGTGCTCACACTCATCAAGTTCGCTTCCTTGAGGAACACCTGCATTCTTCTGGACGAGGCAATCCGGACTACTCTCAGGTACGACGCTAATACCTATTGCTTTAGAAAAAACATTCGGATTTGGTCGGTTGAGGTTGAATTATTGATATTGATATGGTAAAACTCTTGTAGAAGAGGTTTAGTTAGATTGATAAATTGCTATCTTGTAGAGCTTTAACGATGAATCATTATTTTTCAGAAAAGTAAACGGCATTGAAAAGGTTATCATGCCGAAGTTACGCAATACTGAAAATTATATTTTGATGGAAATGGATGAAAGGGTAATATTAGAGATTTATTTGTGAAACAGCTTTGTTTCAGTTTACTTATTTTAAATGTTTTTTCTTAGGAGAGGGAGGAATTCCACCGCTTGAAAATGGTGAAGGCAAAGAAAAATCGCACGCAAGCGTTCGCGGCCCGTGCAGAAGCCACTTGCAAAGCTATTGGCGAAAGCGAAACTAGTGGTTAGAAATCCATTAATTTATACTTCATTTACCTTTTGCAATTCGTACGTAATGAGCGGTTACTTGTTATTCCAATCAGAAATATTGTGCGATCAAAGTCCCATCCATAGCTAAAAATAAAGTGAATTTCGCGAGAATTTTGATTGTCAAGTCGGAACGTAAGCATCATTTCTGTGCATCTTTTCAGTCAGTCATTTTCATTTCACAGAGTAGGTACTGAACATAGGCCTCCCCCAAATGTTTTCAGATTGAACGATTTAGATTGTTATTTCTTGCTGCTAGTTATACCCATGGAAAAATTTGCTTACAGACTTGTTGAGCACTCCCTCCGTGTCCCGCATCCGATCCCTTGAGTGCCTGACGGTGGCGAGCATCCTCTACCCTTGCACCGCCATTTCCTCCACCACGGACTCTGCGGGCGACTTCAAGCCCGTCTGCTACCCTCATAACTGGGACGACGATGATTTGCTTTTCTAAAGTTACGTTACCTTACCCGTGTGTTAGCACGACGCATTAATGTTTAAATGGCACAATCTTACACAATGTGTCGCTTCACGCTTGTATTGAAATCGTCAAATTCTCTAGAATATCGGAAATTCGGAATTGACTCGAGCAGTTTGTGCCGTAATTTATACTATGCGTAGGTTCTATGTAACTTGTTATCCAAGTTGGGAAACTGACTGCTATTGAATTGAAAAACCATTATTTATTACTAATGAAATATATTTTCATTTAAATACAAGCATTTTAATTTGCACACCGTAAATAATAAATAAGTTGACGCACACAAAATTACAAAACCCAACCATTATCCAATCTCTCCTCCATTGGTTTGGTGAAATATTGGCACCGGCGGAATTTTTCCAATATTTCTCCCTGAAACGAAAAACAACGCGCTATTAGCAAAACTTGATAGTAGATTAGACGGGTTAACGAGTTCTTTTTAAAATACAGTGTGAGTCACGTTAAAGTGTACATATGAAAATAGATGAAACTAGATCTATTTTTATCGACAAAAAAGAGGTCAAAAAATTTTTGAGATTTTTTTTTAATTTTTTATAGAATTTTTTTTCTTCAAATTACTTATTGTAAAGAAAACGTAATAACTTTTAAACTAAGCGGTATATCCTGATAAAATAAAAACAGTAATAATGCTAAATAACAGGCAATACTAAAAAAATACATAAAATACACAAAAAAGGCCAACAAATAATAAAAAAAATATACTTTTTGAAAAAATTCCGCTTAAAAATTCGTGCTTTTTTGGTTATTTGATGAATTTCTCCAAAAAATGCCCCTATAACCGGTAGTTTTTATTACTTTGTATTATTCTCTATCGTATTACCTTCGTAAAACGAAAAATCGCATGTCTCTATCCCTATCACAACGTTTGCAATGATCGTTTGAACTAAGCCTCTCCGGGCGCGCCATTCAACGCTTCGTTAACAACAAAACTGAAAATGGCTCTAGATTTGTAATTTTGATAAAGACAAGTTAGATTTCAAATAAAAACAAAAGATTTCGAAGTAAAATAAGCATTTTAGTTAAAATTAAAATTGTCTCTACCTGTAGCGGAGAATAATGTTGTGGCAGGCCTTTGTTCAAACGATCATAGCAAATGTTGTGATAGGGATAGAGACATGCGATTTTAGGTTTTACAAAGATAATACGATAGAAAATAATACAAAGTAATAAAAACCACCTGTTATGGGGGCATTTTTTTGAGAAATTTATAAAATAACCAAAAAAACACGAATTTTTAAGCAGATTTTTTTCAAAAAGTATCATTTTTTATTATTTTTTGGCATTTTTTGTGTATTTTATGTATTTTTTTAGTATCGCCTGTTATTAAGCATTATTATTGTTTTTATTTTATCAGGATATACCGCTTAGTTTAAAAGTTATTACGTTTTCTTTACAATAAGTAATTTGAAGAAAAAAAATTATATAAAAAATTTAAAAAAAATCACAAAAATTTTTTGACCTCTTTTTTGTCGATAAAAATAGGTCTAGTTTCATTTATTTTCATATGTACACTTTAACGTGACTCACACTGTATACGGCAATCTGATGGAACTTTGTCATACTACCACGCAAGTTAGGTACTTACAGGGCCAGTCTTCTTTATAGATTCACTATAATACGTGATTGCACTCGATCCAGTTCCATAAAGTGGATACTTGAGATGCATCTGTAATAAACACATTGTAGAGTTAGTTGTCGTATCTAATCTACTCAGCATTGACGAATTTAATTTGCCCTTAAAAACCCTACAGTTATCGGGATTATACAGTGTAGGAAAATGAAAAGATTGCCTCACATTTTTGTCGGCAGTAACTTCTAAATTGCGTGGTTCAAAATTGTCTCGTATGTAGTTGGCGTCGTACTCGGAGCAATATTCGACCACTGGCTGCGAGGTGGCTAATTCTTCAATCACTTCGTCCAGCATTTGCTCCCAAAAGAAATCGGTCAACATCCTTTTGCGAATACCTAAAATTCACATAAAAGATCTAAATTAAATATTATTCACTTTTAGTAATTAAAAAAAAAACTATTTAGAAATCCGTGATGATTAAAAAGTTGTATGCATTAATTTTCTGTGGTTGAAACAATCTTGGTCCTGCTGGGTTCGATTCCTAGATCGGAGCGCATCATAAAGCATAATATCTAAAATGCTTTGTGTAGAACTTACTTAGTGGTTCCCAGTTTAGTTTGAAGAAAGATGATTGTTAACAACAAAATAAGATCTTAATTCCTAGCCTGCTTCTAAGTCTTACTATTACTAGACCTAAGCCTAAGTCCTACCTTCGCCATGTTTGGGTTTTTTAGGAACTGAAAAGCTATCGCGCATTTCACTGCCTTTGGCAGGAACTTCTCTCCCATCCTGAAGAATCCAGTCTCGGCTAAAATTCTTTCCTTTCCCATATGCAGATTTTTCTATGGGAACCTTTGGATGAAGTTTTATACGTTCGAGGGGTCTTATTTTAAGTTGATCCTCTTCGTTGTCTGGTTCTGGGAGATCTGCTTGTACGCCTTCATCAATAGTATCAGATTCCATTGTTTAAAATGTTTATATAAAAATCTCGAGAAGAAAAGAAACTGAAAGCGTTTGAGTCTGAAAAAAACTTCGTTGTCATGGAAATTACAATAACATGGTGTATAAATAACTAAACGCAATGCTTGCAATCTACTCCTACGAACAAAACGTAATCTGTCAAAGTCATTGTTTTTGTTTGTCATTTCTGTCAGTGTCATTGAAAAAAAAAATACACTCAGTCAAAGTCAAAAATGGCTGAGGCTTGTCAAATAATTCGAAAACAAGATTTGCCCCCTCCTGGGGGCTACAAACCCATACCATTTAAAAGAATCCCCGCTAAATCATATTTTAGTGGTAAGTTTACAATTTATTATAACTTAACAGTGCTATAAACTTGTTATGTAATCTTTGAGGTTAGGTCTGTTTACCTGTAGATATTTGAGAAAATCATTACAAAACTGTAAAAAAGATACATTATTTTTGCTTTATAAACTGTCTATTTAACACTGTGAGCTAGAAACATTCAGGGATAACTTTAGTGTCGTTTAACGGCTAATTTGTTGTAGTTCTAACAAGATCTATTATGACCTCTATAAGCAGCGCTAAACTCTGATTTTTATCTTCCAGGCTACGCCATAATCGCTGGTTACATCGGTATCACAGCCGGAGCGATCTACCTGTACAACTTGACGTACAAACAGATCAAAAAGAATGAGATCGAGATGCGTTCGGCCAAGATGGCCATCTACCCGATGTTGCTGGCCGAGAGAGACCGCGAGTACATGAAGCAGCTCCGCAGGAACCGTGACGCGGAGGCCGAGCTCATGCGCGACGTGCCTGGATGGGAGGTAAGCTCAATTCAATGAGGGCTATCGTTTTAATACTTAACAGTTGGCACCCCTGGCGATTGACAGGACCTTACTCTACAGTGGCGCCATCTTGACGAGTGCAAATGCGATAGTCCTCTTACCACTTTCGCGCTCACCAGTTGGTGCCACTGTCTTCGCTACTAGCAAGTGACAGGACCTTACTCTACAGTGGCGCTAACTGGTGAGCGCTAAAACGATAGCCCTCATTTCTTTAGTATCTACACCAGTATTGTAGTTGTAATAGTGTTATTTTGAAACAATAAAAGAGTCAGAAGTTCTATTGTCTCTACAAACTATGAATAACTCTAGTTATACTATGATAAACCATGAATAATTTTATAGTAAGAAGGATTTCAGTTAGTGCCAGACATAAAAATCAAACCCTAAAACTTTACAGCCTGTTGGACTAAGCTTCTTGCTCAATTTGATCTCATCACTTGTTTTCTTGCAATTTATGTAGTTAAAATTGACTAGCAATACTAGTAAATCTTGTGATTAAGAAACTACATTTATTATCAATCCATAAAAACTTTGATAAACTTTAACATTCAATATTGTAATTTTTGCCATTATTCATGGTTTCATATTTATATTTCAGGTTGGCACTTGGTATGGCGAGCGGGTATACAAAAAGTTGCCCCCTGACGCGTTGGTGGAGCCAATCTTCCACGAGTACTACGCCCACAGTGACCCCCATGACTGGTTCCAGAGAGCTTACCTTAAACTATGGTCGTAAACAGCTCCCATAAGCGTACAAGCTATCAACTACAATTAAATTAGTTCAATTTTGAATGGTAGTAGCGTTTCAAGTATCTGGCTGCCTCGATAACTTGCAATTAATATCAAGTATGTATCAATTATGGTTGTCTGCTTGAAGAATTCAATAAAATATTTAATAGAGATTTTGCAGTATTTCTTTTTAAATAGATTTTTTTATTTAACTAGCTTTGCAGTTATAAATGGCCTATTTCAAGCAACTAAATGGTCTACTAAAGAACAACGACATCTAATCTATCCATCATCAAAACTTTCATATTTGTTATGGTTAAATTGGTATAGGAAAAACACATCACAAAATCAAAGGTAATTGTTATAAACATTTATTGACTCTCTTTCAAGGACCTACTGGTCCATCATTACAAACATAAATATCACAACTAAATAAATATTCAATTTTCCTAAATTTATTTCCAAAGAACTGAAAAACATAATTTACCCACAGCTGTTGCAAACAACAGGCAGCATTTATAAGTTTATCAATTTAAAGATCAAGTAAGTATGTTCACAGCTTTTAGGCTGAAAATGGCGCCCGAATTATTACTAGGCAAAGAGCCTATTATTGCACAGTACTTTTTTCTCTTAGCGTATATTACATCTTCATGACTCATAATAATTATAAACTGACTAGCGCCCGTTTCCCATATTCAATCCTTGTCCAAATCCGGATTTCAACTGTCAAATTTAATTCAGTTTTAGACTAAATATCCACAATTTTTTTTCGATGCGTTTACACTTTAACATTGTTTAAATAGTCTTATGAACAATATGAAAATGTAAAAAGATCGAAAACCGTAGATACTTTGACCAAAAACATATTGAAAGACAGTTGGACGGATTTGGATTAGGAATTTAGGATTGAATATAGAAATCCAGCATAAGTGCATACAGCGAGACTATCCTACTTGCATTTCCTTATCACAACCCTGGATCTGAGGTGGCGCTTCCGTTGATGGTACATGTACCTCATGAGGATCGCGCCAGCTCCCATGAGACTTATCAAGTACCCTCTCATGAGGAATGGCATGTCGAAAGTGAAATTCCAAGCGTTGGGCATCGTCACAGTTAGCCTCTTCGTCTCTTCTATGTACGGAATGTTCCTCAATATGAGGACAAACTCGCAAGTGATGCCGCAAGGGTACAGAGGGACCCACAGCGAATATCGCAGCCATTTGATTATCCCGATCTCCTTCTTGTACAGCTGTGTGATGTAGTAGAGACATCTGCAATGAAGAAAAGAATAAATTAGCAGGGTTCGAGGATATATATCAAGGGATATATATCAAGATATATATCGGATATATATCCGATATATATCAAGCCGGTTTTGATGATATATATCAATTTTTAAAATTTGTTACTGTATTTGTACTTTTTGACATAAGATTTTTATTTTTTTAGTTGATTTTGCCGTATTTCAAAGATATTTTATGTTTTTGCTTTATTTGTCTGATTTTAAGTTTTAAAAACATTAAAAACATGTTTATGTAACACATATGCAATAGTATTCATGAATAATACAATAAAATAATACTATGGCTTTCATACAAAATTGATATATATCAAAGTTGATATATATCGGATATATATCATAAATATCCAATATTTTGATATTTATAATAAATATCGGATATTTTCGAACCCTGTAAATTAGTGATGTGCTAGGCGTCGCTTCATAGGCGCGTATCCGTCATTATACGCTTGGTGTATGCTTGCTTATCATACAAGACGATGAAACACACAAAATACAATTAGCCAACAAACGGAGCGCTAACACGGGACTATTTCCACCTCTTTTTCCCACCGCTGCAACTCCTGCGTAGCCAGGATCTATAGTTTGACCGCCAATAAAAACCCAACCAGTGAAGGTCAAGTTTCCGGCAGTAAGTCCTTGGCCAGACTGCATAAGTGGACTCGGGGCAGTATGCAGTATTGAGTACACCGCGTCGTGCCCGCATATGTAGTCTGGCCAAGCACTAAAGCTTTGCTCGCATTTGTCGAGTAATTTAGTAGAGTAATGCCCGTTTTCACCATCAATCCTTAATTTTTAAGTGACCCCTATTGTAACACAACAGGAGTTTTGATTCATAGGGGTCACTTAAAAATTAGGGATTGATGGTGAAAACGGGCATAACTCGCCGTTAGTAACTAAATTACTTGCTACTGACCAAAACACCGTGCACACTTTGGTCGAGTATAGTTTACAAATTAATGATTAGTGATATAAATAAAGCCTTTAGTGAGCGATTCATGGTTGTGCACGTCATTATGACGGGGAAGTTACTGAACGCGGAAATATTGTGAATTAATGGCCACTGAATTAATGGCAACACATGATGATATTATGTGTATTTTTTATTCCTAACGTTACCATCGTACATGAACGGATTCTCAAGTCCAAGGCAACCAAAACTCACAAGTCATTGAAATTTAAATTTTATTTTGGGTTTCATTGGTTCGGTGCCTTATGATTTGATATATTTAGGTTGTTTTCTGATATCAAACTACAATATTACTAAACTTGTATATTGACTGTCTGACATAAGTTCATGACTGTTAAGCACTTTTCAGCACTTCGGCTTCAGCTGAGAGAGAGAATCCCTTTAAAAATAAATAAAAAGACCTAATTTCCACTCTTGGAAACACTGTTTACTTGAAGCATCGTCATTATTCTGAGACTACGATTATACGGTATGTTATTTTTATAGTTGATCTATCCAAACATTCAATTCTAAAAAAAAAACTAAATAAATGTACGATTAATTTTTGTTATGGAATTGTTTTTTTCATTAAATTGACCCTTGGGAAAAGTTGACGCAGTCGTTTTTGATCAAGTATAAAAATAACAGCCTGTATATTAAAGATAAAAATAAATGAAACTTACCTCATCATCTCGATCAAGCTCCACGTTATAAACAAGTAGAACACTGCCGGTTTTGTCTGCAGTCTTGGTTCGATTTCGAGGTTGAAGAATACTGTGATTATTCGCCCGATTATTTGGAAAAACGGCATAAATGCACCTCCCTGAAACAATTTCAAATATGTATTAAATTAGATTCAAACAGAAAGCGTAGGTATGCACTTGGTTATGAAGAGAAAAACAAGTCAAGTGACTACTTCATTAATTGAGAATGTTACTAGGTATGCAAAATCACTTGAAACCTATGTTACAGTTAAGATTTTACATTTACAAATACATTAGTTTTTATTTCATTCAAAAATACCCAGTAGTTATGATTTTATAGGCATTCAAAGTTCGCTTAAATATTGAGTCCCGCCGACGGTCACGTGACCCCGTGTGACGTACATTCACAGCGTCCGCTCACTAGAAAACGGATATAAACATACTTAATTTTTTTTTTGTAAATACAAACTTATTATACATATTAACACCCAGACCCATCACAGAAATTAAAATTGAACCAAACCCAAACTTGATGCGATTGTGTCGTTTTATTGCGAATTACCTTCCAGCTCCATCATTAGACCCCGATTACTATATAGAATTAAAATACTCATCAATACAAAACGAACGAGCCCAAACTCGATGCATTTAAGTCGTTTTATTATAGAGTTCCTATGGCCACCTTCCAGCTCCATCATCAGATCAGCTCCATGTCATCATAATATTGCATGGTCATCCAAATCACATGTGTTTGCGAAATTTCAGCTTAATCGGTTGCCTGGAAGTGGGTCATAATTCAGTTTGCAAGATTCCACCCATACAAATATGAGCCAGTCGTTGTAAAATGACGTCACGCGCATAAAATGGCGGGACGGCCGCCGCCCGCACTTTTAAAATTCAATATCTTGGAAACTAATTGACGTATCGAAATAATTCTTTCACGTGTATTTTTTATTTTTAACAGAGAATACAGAAAGCTAAAAAACAAAATTAGTGAACATTCTTCATTCAGTCGAATTTAATTGTTTCTATGCATATAGATCGTTTCATCCACGAAGACGCGCCCCACCGTTCTTCCGCGAATGTTTGAGTGTTATCGGTATACGCTAAATTATCAATGAGTGCACACGCACACTACAGTAATGACGCTCGGATTGCTCGGATCAAGCTCCCCGCACCCCGCGCGACCGAGACCAAAAATTGGTGGGGCGTTTCTTCGTGGTGATTATTTGGGCTTAAAAATTGTACAAAGGTATATACCATAATGAGGATTTATACCGAGAGCGAGTGTATGATTTCCAGCGCCAATGCATGTATGTGACGAATGAATTTCAGAAACTCAAATAACGGGTGCATGATATATCTGCATGAGTTGCAGCAAATTTATCGTATTGCCAGTATGCTCCTCAATGGTAGTCTAGTTTTCTATACATACTAAAACTTTTTTTAAATGTTTTCATCATCATCATCATTTCAGCCATAGGACGTCCACTGCTTGCAAAAGAAAGTGCTTTTTTTAAGCCTATTTACACAAATAAATGAGTTTTATTGTTTTGCTCTGCACAAATACTTTAGTTACTGTGCTTTAGTGCACCGGGATAAAGGGTGCATGATATAAAAACTGCATGAGTTGCATCAACTTTATCGTTTTGCCAATGATAGCCTACTTAGTTTTGTACATTTATTTAAAAAGTGATATTTCATCACAGCAGCAGCAAAACTGACGGCCGATGGGGCAGCATGGTTCTGGAGTGGAGGCCACGTACCGCAAAACGCAGCGTGGGACCTCCACCCACAAGTTGGACCGACGACCTCATACAGGTAGCAGAAAGGCACTAGATGTAGGCCGCTACCAACCGGGCGACATGAAAATCATTGGGGGTGGCCTATGTTCAGCAATGGACGTCCTGTGACTGAAATGATGATGATGATTACTAAGGCCCAGAACACACGGTGAAGCAACTGCAACTTCTAGGTACTTTTGAGTTGCAGTTGAGAGACCACACATGACGCGACCAATTTGAAATGGTCGCGTCATGTGTTGTCTCTCAACGGAATCTATGGCAGAAACTTAGATGCAACTCAAAAGTAACTACAAGTTGCAGTTTCGTTGCAATTGCGTTTCACCGAGTGTTCTGGGCCTTAGTCTAAAAAAGGTTTTGCTCTAAATACTTACTTTAGTGTAACCAAATAACGGGTGCATGATATCCAGAAAGAGTATGAGTTGAAGGAACTTCATGGTGTTGCCGACGTGTTCATACGTGGTGGGGACAGACGCGTAGCCAAGCTTGGCGTAGCGTGTGGCTATAACGCTCAGGATGTAAGCGTAGCCCACGACTTGGAACAGGTTGTAGAATATCAGGTACACTTTGATGGTCTCCTCTGCAAAGATAGTTTAATGGTCAATATCCGCCTTTATATGCCATGACATTGCAATGGGGTTACATTGCGATATTTGCGATCATTATTTCTAGACTACTTCTCAGATTTTATTAAACATACTTAAAGACTGGATTTTTTTCCTACTAATATCTTACCATCCTTTTTTTTTCGACTGGAAAATGCATGAAACTGCATACTCACCAGCCCGGGGGAGCCAATGAGTTATGTGGGGCTCTCCTCGCCTGAAGGACCTTCAGGCGAGGAGAGCCCCACATAACTCAATATCTTACCATCCTATCTTAATCCTACTAATATTATAAATGCGAAAGTTTGTATGGATGTCTGGATGTCAACATGTTTGTTACTGTTTCACGCAAAAACTACTGAACGGATTTCGACGAAACTTTACAGTATTATTGTTTATAACCCAGAATATTTATAGGTTATAATTTATGACGATACGATACCTAAGTATAGAAACTAAATTTCAATAAATAAATAAGACGTGAGAAATATTTACAAAATAGCGCCATCTATTAACATTGCTTTTCACATTCGTAAATAATAATGAAATATTAAATAAAGTTGTATGTAGGTACCTATTTGAATCACAGAGTATTGGTTAATAAAACAGGGTAAAACGGGGTCCACTCCACGCGTACGAAGTCGCGGGCGGCCGCTAGTAATACTATAAAGGTGTTTTGTGAGGAAGGATGAATGTTTGTTACTTTGCAAGAGTCGCACAAAAAACTACTGAACATACCTGCCTTGTTATGCATAAAAAATACAGGCTAGCATACTACAAAACAATTATATTATGCATTTTTTACTGACTGTGATGATGTGATGACAGCAAGTTGTTCACAACTCTACTACTTATAAAAAAAGGTCGCGGGGTCGAGTCTTGTTCAACACAAATATTTTTGCTTATCATGGTATTGGTCTTTGTATGTATATTATGTATTTACAGAAAAGTATTTAAAAATGTTTGAAATGGCGAGAAGACAACTGTGTCATGTACTACACTGGTAAAATGTACAAGGATTAAATACATTTTACGTGGAAATTTGCTTTAAAATTTAATGTATTCGCACATTTTATGTCGACGTACTGGTTTAAGTACTTGTGAAAAAATATACAGTCATGGACAATTTAAAGGAACGCAAAAAAAATTAAATAACGTAGGTATAGTCGACATTCCACCAGCTCGTACTAAGCTGCTGTCTTTTTGTCTGCCTTTTCAAGGCGAGAATGAATAGGCACTTACTACAGGGCAAATGTTTAACATCTGGTGCGATTTCGGTCAAATTTCTGCAGTGTTATGCATAATAAAAAGGATTTTCTTATGGTATCGTCGATGCCAGACTCATCACACGCATGACAACCAATGGCATTTTACTAATCTCTATTTTTTTTCATTAAGTAAAATTATTTTGTGTTAATTAATGCTAGTTAATGATTCTATTCAACAAGTCTTAACAAGCTTATCATTATTATGTATTAGACAAATCAGTACATTAGTTTTTTTTTTGTTGCGTTCCTTTAATTATGTCCATGAGTGTAGTACCTATTAATAAATATTAAGGCGATTAGTGTCCTCAATCCGCGCCAAATGGGCATTTTGTAAAGCCTACTCCTCTTATACTGCTGGACAGAAATAGTTGAAAAAAATATATGTTATACAACAGTTCAAGGACTACATTTGTGACGTTTGAATTTTCGCTAAGTCTCTTTGTTTTGGATTAAAAAAATAAATACGGGACATCGATTTTTTACTTAAATTCCCTACTCCTCCAAAACGGCTATGTTAATTTAAAAGATTTTTGCACGAATAGATTGGGAATTCTTTAATCTTTAAATGACACGTTGCGTTTTTCAATCGAACATTACTTTCATTCATAAATTTTACTTTTGATAAATTCCGAACGTTTTGCTGTTGAGGGGGCCTTCGCGGGGTGCGGGCGGCAGTCGGCCGCTGGCCTTCAGACGGGGAGGTTGTGTCACTCGCTACAAACTGACATTAGCGATCAAAATGAATTTTTTCTTTGGCTAAGTTGCACCACCTGACGTGACCTAACTTTGACCGTAGCTTTGGCGATAACCGGTGTTTTTTGTATGGAGTTAGACAGACTTTTGACGCTTGTCAAAGTTGAAGTAAGATGGTGCAACCCAGCTTTTGTTCGACAATAGATTTTATGTCAGAATTGTTCATAGAGTACGTGCAGTCAGACGATACAATTGAATTATGACGCGCTCAGACGCTATTTTCTACCTGAATAGAATCTATTAGTGTAAAAAAACTATAATTGACTCCAAAACAACTGCACTAGATAAATACAAGTAGAAAAATTATTACGTTATTTATTTACTAGGCCTTTGCAATCAGTATCCAAATTAGGAGCTAGTCAGAATCTGTAACTTAATCGATTTACGTGAAGAAAACAATTTATATTTTTCATACTTATTAGAATTAGATTTTAAATATGTTTCTTCGCGAAAATACCACAATTAAAAATAACACCTGTAACGCCCCTGGGTCTGCGGGTGTCTATGGGTGACGGTAATCATTTACCAACAGGTGATCCGTTTGCTCGTTTGCCTCCTGTCACATTAAAAAAAATTAAGATAAAGTGGTATTGAATTGTTCTATAGAGCTTATTAAAAATTTGGATACTGATTACAAAATTAGCCATTTTCGGAGTCGGTGTCGGTGTCCTACCTTTTGGTGATTCGTTTTGGAGTTGGTTTTAATTTTTAGTGAAATTAATCTATTTCATGCCTTTAGTAGACTATAGGTACCCAGTAGACCTTGTTGTTGCCACTGAAGGTGCATAGGTACTCAGTACATTGATACCATATTTTTCATGTTAAGTGCAAATAAACTTCCCTAAATTACCAAACCATGAAACGTACCTATATTATTAAAAAGTTTCGCAGATAAAAACTAAAATCCTCTTATAAGGTGATGAATTTTAGGAGCATGTCATGAAACCAAAATTATTAGCATAAAAGAGCTTGTTTTAAAAAAAATCTTTTTATTTATGATGGGGAATTTACTGCGGCGTAGTAGCAGAGATTTTCCGTTTGTAGATCGTAATAATTTCGAAGAATAGGGATGTTTCGTGGATAAAGCAAGAAAGTAGCAAGAGTTTGAATAAGACCGTCGGTGAACTTACCAAAAAAAAACTCTAAATGTATTTTTCACTTTTTTAAACTTATGAAAATTTAAAGAGATGAAGCGCACCAAAGTTCAGAAGATGAGGCACATGACGTCAAGGCATGCTTAAAAATGTGGCGATTTGTGTCGTCACGCGGAATTTCATCGCATCATTATCTTCGTAATTACTTGTTTAATTGAAAAATAAAAATATCCTGTGTCCAATATTTTTTGATAATGTAAAATTGACGGACCAAAAGTCTTTTTTAAAGAAACTAGCCTATTCCTATGGCCACATTCCAGCTCCATCATCAGACCCTGCAGTTTCCCTTAGAGAATTGAAGACTCATGATTTTCAAAGTAGCGTACCTACTTACATAACATTAGGTACTTGCTTATACAGGGTGTCCCAAAAACAATGGATAACCCTTCAACCATCGATAGGCCTCGCCATGGTCTCCCTAACGTCCAATTTTGACCCCAGTAAAAATATCACCGTTTTCAAGATTTTTAAGTTTTTGTGCATTTTTAGAAAATTGTAATGAAATTATTTAGGTATAATAATAAATAAATACAAATCAAACGAGCCTAAACTCGATGGAATCGTTTATTCCCGGAGTTGCTATGGGGCCACTGGCATTCCAGCTCTACCATCAGATCAGCTCCATGTCATCACAATATTGCATTGTCACCCGAATTACATGTATATCCGAAATTTGAACTCAATCAATTGATGAAGGATTTCTAATAAAAAGACAAATACATTTTCAGTTTATTCTTCATAAGTGATAGACAAAAGCAGAAACATTTGCTTTTTTAGGCCATAGACAATACTAGGTAGGTACTAATGCGTTCCAATAGGGATGATGACTGGGTAATGAAATCGAAATTCTATTTAGTCCGTCAGACAGATAATTAGAAAATATTAGACTCATATTTTTTATTTTTTTCCATAATCGAATAATTACAGTATTATATTGAGTTGAAATGTCGCGTGACGTCACATTTGAGTAAAAATTCTACTCAAGCGTGGCGTATCGCGCCATTTCAACTCGATGTAGCACTGTTATTATTTAATTATGAAAGAAAATAAAAAATATGAGTCTAATATTTTCTAATTATCTGTCTGACGGACAAATAATTGAAATTTTGTCATCTAGCCTAGTTGTCGTCAGGAAGTTGGTCTAACTAATTCAGCTTGCAAGATTCCACCCGAACAAACATTTATGTAATTACCTACATACATCATAAATTGCAAGCTAAATAAAAGCTTGTAATAAAGTCGGGTTTGTTCAAATTTCGAGAACGACTGAACCGACAAAAGCATTAGAAAATTTACGAAAAATAAAATAAAATTTTATCCCGTACAAAATGTTCATGGATTTTGTTATTTTTATTAAATACCTTTACGCCTGAGTTAAATGACACCGACATCAAGGTTCATCAATTTAAGTTTAAAATAATAGGCAGTAATGTATGAAGAAAGAGCTTCTATTCTGTATCTACCTATGCCCGTGTATTTTTGATCGGTGTCAAATCGGAGTTTTTGGTGCGGGGTACGCGGGTGTTGCTCGCGGCGTGAAGGTCAAACGCCCAAGGTCATTGAGGACTCTAATCGCCTTAATATTTTTAAGAAGCGAGCTATTTTACGTCACTGCTGTGCTAAAGTTACGTCAAGTAATGGAAATTTGAAATAAACGTTTGCAAAATAACCTGTCAGCGCTGCGACCCGAACCTGACTTCTGTTTTTGAAACTTAATCTAAAATAACAGTAAAAAATCGTACATTATCCTATTGAAAAATATGTTTTTAAACAGAGACAATAAATACCTACTATTATTTAGCTTATTCTTTAGACGGCCTATGTTCAGCAGTGGACGTCCTGTGGCTGAAATGATGATGAATACCGTTAACCCCTCGATGCTTGTGTCACGCACGAGTGGGTTTACCACAATAGTCGAGCAGCGGGATTCGAACCCTCGTACCTCGGTTCACGAGTCGGCCAGTCCGACGGTTCACCGTTCGGCTATCGTGTATTCCTTGTAACTGAAACGTGGCTAAATTTCGTCGCCTACGCCGAAAAGGGGCGGACATCATAAAAACGGTCAAAAATTTAGTTGTATACAGAAATGCTCCATTCTTCAGGCACTATGTCGTTTTACATTTTTTGTTCTCCTGTATAATTGTATGCGGTCCACAGACCACACAGCTTATGTCCGCAGTCTGTGGAACACTACGTATTATTTATGTACTTATATGGTCGCGAATAGAATAGAATAGGTTTATTGACACATTAAAAGACACAATACAGAAAAAAAAAATGTCGCGGTCCTAATAATTTTATAAAAAAGCTTCGCCCCTTTGCGGCGTCGGCGACGAATTGTGACATAAAGTACCTCTTCGATAGCCCATTTCTTCTTTCTGCAGCCTGTCGTACATGCCCGGATAGTCCTTCATGATGTCGCGTCTCTCCTCATCGCTATCCTGCGGGTCCTCCGATTTCCATAAGTCGAAATTTATCTGCAATTCAAAACCAGTATTAGTAGTGACAATGTCTTCAAGCTATTAACATCACCTAATACAAAACGAGGATTTTTCGCAATTTGTAAAGTACAAAGTGTCAAGGAATTGTGTACCTACTATTATTCTGTGGTTATGGAAATCTTACCGACCGTCAAGGTGTCGGACTGGCCGACTATTGGTCGAATGTTGCTATCGCGCTCGCACACTCACTGCGGGTGCCAGTCGCACAGTCGCGACAGCAATATAATTACGCGCGAGCGATAAGGATGGGTAGCGAGGGGTCATTGGACAAAATTCTACGTGCTCACGGACCGGGCTTTAGTGCTTCGAGGAACGCGGGTTCGATCCCCGCCGCCGCTCGACTATAAATTGTGGTGAACCCACTCGTAACACAAGCATTATTTAGCTTACCACGAGGGGTTAACGGGATTATTAGTAATTTGTATTTCAAAAAAAATACAGGCCTCCCACTAGGTGGACCGACGATCTGGTGAAAGTTGCGGGAGGTGCCTGGATGCGAGCGGCGCAGGACCGGTCTTTGTGGAAATCCTTGGGGGAAGCCTTTGTCCAGCAGTGGACGTCTTTCGGCTGAAACGAACGAACGAATTTGTTTTTACAAATTGCTTTATACCGCTTTAAAAGAGGCAAGAAGTGTTTACCTTTAACCAGGCGGGTTTCTGAGGCTGTGCCGTGAGCCGGGGCCACCAAGCTGGCTTCCTCTTCTGCAGGACCACATCCACTCGGTTCTCCAACACCCGAACCACTGCGGGCTTCTCATCATTTGAGGTGTCCTGAGAATCAAAAAGCTACTGAGTCCACCATGGTCCAGTGTAATCGCGATGCCTGTAAGGCCTGCTATACACGGACAGCTTGAAGCAGTTACGTGTCGGCAGCTTCAAGCTGCGACTGCATAGCAAACTACGGAAACAGTTGTCACTGCTCGAGCGGCTCAGTGTATGTGTGTGTACGTAGTGTACTGTAGTTTGCTATGCAGTCGCAACTTGAAGCTGTCGGATGCTAGCTGCTTCAAGCTGTCCGTGTATGGCGGGCCTAACCGACAGAAATGGAAGCACATCGCCAGGAGAGCTACCCTTGGAGATGACATCGAACACCCCACCGTGTACCTCGTCAGCGCAACCACAAGAAGAAAAGAAACAAAAATTGTTTATCGTTAAGAGATATCTCCTTAGTAACTAACTATGAAATTAGCTGTTTCCGGTTGTAAATGAAGGCCATTCTCACGCAGTGAACGTCATTGGGCTGAAACGAACGAAGCTGTTTCATCTGAATTTTTGTTGAAGTTTTGAAGGGTTATTTACTACCCAGTATTGATGAAACAATAGTCGTGCGTGACAGCGTATTACACTTGAAAACTATGGGTTCACCTAGTGGCCAAGTGGCTCAGATGGTGAGAGTAGTCGTCCAGCAAGCGAAAGCGAAATCGTCGAAATTTTCTATTAATCGTCTTCGATCATTTAACTTTCAATATGGAGTAAAACGCAGCGTGGGACGTCCACCCACAAGGTGGTGGTTAGAGGTAGCAGGAAAGCTACCAACCGGTCAACATGGAAATCATTGGGGTAGGCCTCAGATCATAGAAGGGAGAGGTAGGCCTGTGTTAAGCAGTGAACGTCCTATTGGTTGGGTTTTTATTGGCGGTCAAGCTGTAGATCCTGGCTACACAGGAGTTGCAGTGGTGGGAAGTAGAGGTGGGAATAGTCCCGTAGTGAACGTCCTAAATGTGGTCCTACGTCCTATGGCTGAAATGATGACCTAAGTACCTAATGTAGGCTTGCTGACTAGGTATTTTACAGTGTACGTATGTGAAAACTAATGTGAAATATTTTGTGACGTGTGACGATGAATTGCTAATCATGATTTTGATCTATGAACTATTCGACGATTACTTACATGTACCTACAGATTGAAGTCTTACACTATGCAGGAAGTTGGAAAAACAAGGTTTTCCACTAAATGGCGAGATCTTTCAAGGTCTTTTATTTTTAATATGTTTTAGGTTTAGTTATGCATAAACTACGATGGATAAGTAATTTCTATCCCACCAAAAACATTGTAAAAAACTAGCCAAGTCTCGATGGAGCTGCTTGTTTATCTCTAAAAAAAAACCGGCCAAGTGCGAGTCGGACTCGCGCACCGAGGGTTCCGTACAAACCTGCAAGGTTTACAAAGTTCGTTCATTACGACAATCGAGTCATAACTATGGTATTTTTATTGCAAAATGAAATTCATAACATTACAATGGGGAAAGTAACTACTTAAAAGGAGAATGCCCAAAAGTGGTATCGCTCGAAATCTAATTGTACATTGAGGGTACCACACCGTAAATTCCTTTCTTCATTTGTAATGATTTGCGAAAGTAGTAAGAAATTGTAAAACCTCCGGANTCTCTGCCGCTTTAAAATTTTCATTAATTTCCGTCATAGCTTTGCCCGTTTGTCCAATAAAGCGATTTCTCAACTTCTTTTTTTGAACTACTTTCCATTCTTCACTATGGCCATATTCTTTCCACTCGCCGTTACGGACAATATCAGCCATCGATTTACGACCGGCCGCGGGCGCAGTGTGTCCGCTCTCTTGCGCCACGGCAGGCGGGAGGGAATGAATCATCACTGCGGGCCCTTGCGCATTCAAATCTCGCCGGCAGTTGCTCGGAGTGCTCGGCGCAGACACGAGCGCGCAGGTATCCTTAAGTTCGCTCGCGCTCGACTCGCTTTCAATGCTATGTGTTATAGGCGGTTGGAGACAGCTTTTTTGTTCGTTCGTGCTACCCTCCGGTGAAATATGGTTGGGAACGCTTTGTGGTGATGTGATGGATTGCATAGGTGGTAATCCCATAGGGCCACTATCATAGTCATAGCTGCTCATAAGACAAGCGCCTCTTTTCACGGCAACATTTTGATGAAAGTTGTTTACAATTGATGCCTCTTTTAGTGCGTTTATTTCCAGTTTCAGTGATTTAACTTCTTCATTTAATGCGTAGCCTTCCTTAATCTGCTTGATATCGGTCTTTATTTTCACAATATCTTTTAAAAGACTAGTTACATCTACGTGGTCAAATGAAACCGGAGGTAATTTTTGCAACTCCCTGGCCACGAAGATTGGAATACTCTCTGGGTTTATATCCTTCAGCAAACATATGATGTCTTCAATCTCTCTTTGTGTTTTACCGTGATTCTTCCGAGTTTTCTTTTTCGATTTTGGAATCGAATCAAACAGTAAGTTTTTCGCTGTCGTAATTTCACTCTGTGAGAAAGCACTTGCACATATTAAACTAATGCTTTCTTCATCCATAACGTCTATTTTATTTCACACAAAGGCAAGAACTTCATTTATAACTATATTGCATTTCGTACATTTCACTGTGTTAGACATCTCGCTTGACTTGATTATATGACAATGCTTTATGCCAAATTTCAAGATTCTGAGTTTACGGGAAGTATCCTGTAGGTTTTGATTCCTTTGCGAGTGTCGAAAATTTGTTGAAAATATCGACATAATCGGCTGTATCTTTTGATTGACTTGGCTTAGAAGTTTGATATTTTCACAGCTTAAAGGGACAATAGACCTGAGTATTTCATGTGAATTTCAGCTTGATACGTCCACGCGTTCTTGAGATAAAGGGTCTTGACAGACAGACAGACGGACAACAAAGTGATCCAATAAGGGTTCCGTTTTTTCCTTTTGAGGTACGGAACCCTAAAAGTAATGAAATCTAGACAAAGTCGTGCCAAGTCTATGATGGTTCCTTACTGCGATTACTTTATTATTATACTTAATATTGTGTGACTTGGCCGTTGAACAATCTTTATTATGATAATCATACATAAGTATTATTGAATGGGTAGCGGTTCTGGCGACAGATTGGGGCAATGATGTCATGGAGCACCTGATTTTGTACCCTTCAACGGCCAAGTCACACAACATTAAGTATAATAATAAAGAAATCGCAGTAAGGAACCATCATAGACTTGGCACGACTTTGTCTAGATTTCATTACTTTTTAGAGATAAACAAGCAGCTCCATCGAGACTTGACTAGTATTTTACAGAATGTTTTTGGTGGGATAAACCTTTACAGGACCGTAGCCTAGGTGGACGGTTACGATACGATACGATACGATAGTGCTCACCCAGCCAGGACGAGGCCTGCTCCGGTCAAACCGGCATACCAGGAGGCACGATTTTAAGGAAAGACACGCTCTGGGATGGGAGAGGACGGCCGACTAGCCGCTGCGTCTTTAAACCGCAACCGGTCGACCACAACCAAGTAGATATGCATCCTGAGCCTGGTCTAGGAAAATAGGTAAAGACGGGTTATCGTTGATAGGACTGAGCGTTGATGCGATGAGATGGGCGGTCTGGCCTTTGATGAGATGGCTTTGGTTGTTCTTGGTTCATGTACTGCTGCTAGACTAGCCTCGTTGTTCTCTTGATATCTGCGGTAGGTACTNTAAACAAGCAGCTCCATCGAGACTTGGCTAGTATTTTACAGAATGTTTTTGGTGGGATTGCACTTATTTTTGTAGAAAGTGGCATAATTATTTAACGTCGCGGCGTCGTCGTCCTTTAATAAGTATTATCGACATTTTTTAACGATATTAAACACAAATAAACTAACCTTTAAAATGTACAACGAATAAGAATCGTTTAATAACTTCTTAACCTTAGCTAACATCACGATAAATTATAAACGAAATCGACGAAATGCAAATTACACAACATTCAACTTAATCGACGGGGGGGTCTAGAAAGGAAAAAAAATCTGGACACCGCGGTGCAGAAAATCGACACTCAAAGTGCTAGCGCCATCTACCGGTGAGCGGTACAGGCGAACACCACGGTGCCAGTGTGGCGCTAGTAGTATTGATTAAGAATGTGGTGTTACTTCAAATCTTCGATTTTCCTAGTTTTTATACTTTTCCCTTTATGTGGCCATTAAACCCTAACTCTGTACCAAATTTCAGCTCTCCGGGTTTATGGGAAGTACTAGTTCTATTTTGATGATTATCAGTGAGCGAGTGTCATAAATGCGAAACTTTGCTTTCGCTTAACTTCGGAACTAAATGACCTACAGACCTGAAATTTTGGATTTTAAGTATGTGATTATAGCTTACTAGATGACGAAAATTTCTGCGTTCTGGTCTTATCCAGAGGTTCTCAAATAGGGGCCTGAAAATGCGGCGAAATGGTTCCAGTAAAGGATGGTACGGCAGTGTTTGCTTCGCGCTCGACTTGGCGGGGGCACTGCCGTGCCCCCAGATCTATCTAGAAGGCCGACTGGCCTAGTGGGGCTCGCGAACTATTATGTAGAAGTCGCGAGTTCGTACAATACAAATATTAGGGTGTATGAATAAATGTTTGTTTGTATTATTTAAAACAAAAAAGTAATACCTATCTTTGTCTTGATAATGGACTCTTCCTATTAGGAGGGCTGAAATACATAAATCACTACTCCTTATTAAGACACAACAAAGATTACTTCTAAAATTAAGAACATAAGAACCTCCTTTTGTTGAGGTCGGTTAAAAATTCACAGGACTTTGCACGAAAAACTTTTTTTGCGTACGTCATCAAAATCCGTGCGGCGAAACTGAGAGCAGATAATAAATTTTTACTTTGAATTTCTTCCTGCTGGGCTTATTTTAGTCACAAGTCAGTAAATAATTTTAACTTTCCTTCTGTATAATTCTCGCCAGATATAATTTTTATAAAAAACAATATTTATAATAGATGTAATAATCCAAGGGACTACAATGAAATTAGTGATTTATTTGATTTGAAATTACTGGACCAATTTGGCTGATTTTGGTTTTGAATTTTATTTATTTATTTTCACCAACTTAAATGATTAGATAAATTAAGATGAGAAAATATTTGAAAACGACTTCCACGCATATGAAATCGTGGGCACAACTTGTTAGAAATAAACATTCAAAAGTAATTATTATTATAGTATGCCTACTACTTAATATACAAAAATGAGACACTGGCATCTTACCTACCTTGTTGCAAGTAATTATTATAAGTACGTCCATGGTACGGCTAATTGAAGAAGTGATGATTTATTTATACAAAAATAGCTAAATATTTACTACAGTAATACAAAACAACATAAATCAAATTATTCCTTACAGAAGCTATAAAAGATGCATGAAAGTGAAAAAAACATTTTTATTTTCAGAGAAACTTTAAAATTTCTGATAAATGTTTTCCAGAAATATTATAATTAAACAGCATGACATGTGTTATTAGTTGATGGGAAAAATGTAAGAAGCAGCTACAAGATTTTGGCATTATGTATAACTAGATTATGAATAAATGACTGAAACGTTAGTTAACATTTACACCCTGATGTTTATGAAGTAAAGATAAAATGTGTACCTTTCTTAATAAAAACTTTTACACCAAAACTTTAGTGGGTAAATTTTTTTATTTTCTATATTTCACACTTTTTAAGTTTTATATTGTTTTACACAAAACATTTTATGAAATTAAAAATGTGTGATAGGTACATGAATCATAAAATATATTGTTAGCTTATTAAGGTCAGAAAATTCTCATTCATACCCTGTAAAACTTGACCCTTGAAATGAACTAAATAAACCACTGCAAAGGTATAAAGAATAAATAATTAAATATTAGTCTAGCAAGGATTAAGTAGAATTACCAGACAATCATTATTCTGTAACTAACAAAACAACAGTTCATAAACAGCAAACAAGTCTTATGAAAATGAAGATAAAGGTTTTTAATTGGTAGAAAATAAACAAGAATAAAGAAATAAGTACTATTATTTTTACTGATTTACAATGTTTACTGAAAACTACCATGAATAACTTAAAATGGTAAATATTAATTACAAAGTTAACTTACAGTTTTTATCGGAGAATATAAATTCAATCCAAATTCATATTTGCATTTCCCGTGTGCACCTACGCCGATAGCAGAAAACTTCACTTTATCTTCTAGAACTGCAAAGTCAGGACTTTCCACATTTTTCAGGTCAATTCTTAACGAAACACTACTTTCTGTTTGAGCCCAATAAACGAAGGGACTCGGGGAGCTTATGATGACCATTTCTTGAACTTGTTCTATCTTTATTGGCACAAACAATCAATTAATACTTGTGAAAACATCTATTTAAAACCACCAAATCAATGAAAGCCGCGCAAGCTCTCTCTCTCATCTAGACATACTCTCTAATCTGTGCTCTCATCTGTCATCGTACCACTACACTACGCGCACATGTTAGCGCGCAAGTATTTTTAAATATTTTTTTTTACAGTTAACACAGAAAAGCGGAAGCAAAGCAAAATTTAAACCTAAAACATACGGAAAAATCTTGGAAAAATACATTTTTTTACTTGTGAGTAGTGAGGGCCGACTAAGCTAATGCTAGGCTAAATAAAAGAACTACGCGTTTTTATTATTAGGCCAGTAGAATTGAACACAAAAATGAATTAAATCGGAAATAATTCCTACTAAAGATTTTAGTGCTTTAATGGCTTCATTAATTGCCCATAAAGACTCTCCTAGGTTTTCGACTTCGACGGAGTTGTGCTTAAGAGCGTTTACGTGAAGCGCGGCGTTTCAAGGGGCATCATTGGAAATGATTCGCGCGCGGCGTTTTTTAATAGTTTCCAAATGTTTATAGCAAAACAATAACAATGAATTATATATCTTTTCGAAGTAAATATTTTAAAGAAGATGTTATTTTATTATATTAAACTATTTTTATGTTGAATTAAAGAAGAATAATGGTGTAAAAATCACATTGATTTTTGGGTATTTCACGTTTTTTTAATTTGTGATTTTCTTATTGTAAAATGCTTAAATCTAAAAATTTTCTCAGATAACTATTTGCCCAAGGATCTATGCTATAGGATATAAATGTTTGTTAAATAATTTTAACAGTAATTTCATAAAAATTTCAGCTTGTAAACTGACGCTAAAGTGGAAATTTACAAAACCTGTGTAGACTTATCTTGATAGAATTCTTAAATACTAAACTAATCGCAATATTTTCTCAATTAACTATATAGACGACGAAATTGCCTAACTATTTATGCCTATAACATATTTGTAATATTACTGGTTAATGATTGTAACGAGTTGAAAAAGTACTGTTTTTGCGTCAATCGGCGTAAAAGTGGTGGGGGCCCCCGAAAGGGGCGTTTTTACGGTTTTCCGTTTATACCGCGTAAACGGCTTACCCTATCGAAAAGTGGTCTTCCTGACGGTTGAAGGGCATTTAATCCTGCATTAAATAAGACCTAATTCATATGTTTTGAACAAACAGTTCTCGTGATGTTCGGCAAAGTAGAAAATATGTGTATAATTAAATTAATAACCCACTCCACGTTCAATGGATCGTTACCCGCAGGCTTGCAAGTCTTGAAAAGGAGCGCCTCAACCAATGTAACCCTATCAAGGCTTACGAGCTGGATGCGCCTGTCCTTGTTTGTCCCAGCCGTTCCTTAACTGCGGTTGCTGCACTTCTTCCTGGCACTCACCTGAACGACTCTGTTGCCTAGCCGTATGCCTGGTCTAAGGTTCGACGCCAAAAATCAGCAACAAAAAGTTCATATTAAAACGTTGAAGAGTTTTTTGTTTGTCTGTTTGAACGCGCTAATCTCAAGAATTACTAGTTTGATTGAAATAATTATTTTTGTGTTGAATAGCTCATAAATTGAGGAAGGCTATAGGATATATACAATGATATTATATAAAAACAAAAGTTCTATAATATCATTGGATATATACAATCACTCTACGACTAATAGAGTCGAAGCAGTAAAGAAAAATGTTGCAAGCACGGAAAACAGTATTCAAACTATTTTCACGCGTACGAAGTTGATTTTGTGGAGTCTAACCTTGGACCAGGCATATGGCTAAGCAATGCAATCGTACAGGAGGGTACAAGGAAGAGGGGCAGCCACATTAGGTAACACAGAGTCGTTCAGGAGAGTGCCAGGAAGAGGTGCAGCAACCGCAGTTAAGGAACGGCTGGGACGAACAAGGATAAGCGAATCCAACTCGTGAGCCTTCACAGGGATACGCTGGTTAAGGCGACCCTTTAAAAGGCTTGGGAGCCTACGGTCAGTGACGGCGTAGCATGGCTTGGCCCCCGGGGGGATCCCCCCCCCCCCCCCCATGCTCGGGACTATGGCACCCCAGAATGGTCAGGTCTGGTGGCCCCCAGAATTTTCGGGTTACCGATTCGAAGATGAAAGATGTACGAATCAGCTATANGCCCCCAGAATTTTCGGGTTACCGATTCGAAGATGAAAGATGTACGAATCAGCTATAATGATACCAATCGTACCCCCCCGTATCATAATCTTTGTCATGCAGATGCGTGAGTACTAATTTGCGCGACTTTTGTCACCCCCTGATGCCTGGCACCCGGGGCGGACCGCCCCCACCGCCCCCCCCTTACGCCGCTACTGCTACGGGTGACGAGCTATTGGACGTGGAGAGGGTCATAAATTATACACATATTTTCTACTTTGCCGAACATTTGCACGAGAACGGTTTGTCCAAAACATATGAATTTGGTCTTATTTAATGCAGGATTAAATGCCCTTTAACCGTCAGGAAAACCACTTTTCGATAGGGTAAGTCCTTAATGCGGTATAACCGGAAAACCGAAAAAGCGCCCCTTTCGGGGGCCCCCACCACTTAAGCACAACTCCGTCGAAGTCGAAAACCTAGGAGAGTCTTAATGGGCAACCAATGAAGCCATTAAAGCAATAAAATCTTTTGTACGAACTATTTCCGATTTAAAAGCTAATTCTACTGGCCTATATAGTTTTTAGGGTTGCGTAGTCCTGACAAGGAACCCTTAAAGTTTTGTCATTTCTGTCTGTCTGTCATGTCCGTCCGAGGTTTTTCTTGGAAACTGTGGGCACTAGAGATCTGTAATTTTGTGGAGTGGAGTATGTAGGTATATTAATCATGCCAACAAAGTGGTAAAATTTTAAAAGATTTTTTTTTAGTGTAGCTCATCATCGTTGTGTAGCATTATTTTCTAATGTAATCGATATAATTATATCGATATTAGAATCACATCCCTTCTTCTTCTTCTTTTATTGATGGCGATGAACTTGTGCTTTTTCGCCACTGTTCCGCCAATGTCACATGCGCAGCTTTTACACAGTGATAGAGACAAAATAAAATAAAATAAAATAAAATAATTTAACTACAAGACTAAGCGAACTTATCGACCTAAAACAAAAAAGACATCACAAATCACAATCACGACAAGACAACACAAAAAAGACGAAACACACAAAAATTTTGTACAGCAGGGGTTGGGGAAAGGGTTGAGGGATGGGGGTGGTTTGAAACGAAAGAAAAAAAGAAAAAAAAATGACACAGGGGATTAATAAATTTCGCAAGGCCAATTTTTTCCTTACCTACAAATCACATCCCTAGTCTGCAGCTACAATTGACTGATGATGAGTTGATATTTACCACAAAATATAACAGAAGGTAAACTCATGTATGTACCTCGCTTTGCATACCTCTCTCGCTCGCACGCTCGGCCGTGCGCCAGGGTTGTCTTGTCATGTGTTGTGTTTATTTCGTTATGATAGAAAAATGTTACTCTTAATACTATGCAAGAAAGACAATAACAGATATCCACGTATACTTATTTATATTTAGTACGTTATTATAGTAATAGTTTGCAAACAAATACACGAGAAGGAAGTAATTTAGTTGAGTGGTTGACACTATTATCCAACTAATATTATAAATGCGAAAGTTTGGATGTCTGGATGTTTCTTGCTCTTTCACGCAAAAACTACTGAACGGATTTTGATGTAACTTTACAGTATTATTGTTTATAACCCTGAATAACATATAAGCTATAATTTATGACGATCTGTGACAAACTAAATTTCACGCGGGTGAAGCCGCGGGCAAAAGATAGTTATCCAATAATTCCTAAAACCTCTCTAAAACAATTCGATATTCCTAATAATTGAGTTGGCTTTCAATTTCAATTGAAATTCAAATAAATAACTTACTTACCTCCCCGAATCAACTGGTAATTTAAAAAATGAAAATTCGGTATTTAATGATGAGTTTATGCAACCAAATACCGAACAATTATAATACGACTTTTTCTGTTCATTCATTTTCGTCAATTTCGCAAAACAAAATAATATCACAGGCGGTTGACCGGCGCGTGACTCAAGCGAACCACAGCGAACGTGTGGCGAACGTCTGTCGCGCCACGTCGCGCTCGCATTCGTCCAAGACAGTCTTGCTAGGAGCGGTGTCTATGTGTGCGTGGCTCGAGCGCGTTTAGTATGGAGTTTGTCTTCTGTTATATTTTGTGTATTTACTCTGTGGTTGATTGTCTGTCAAAAAACCGTTTGCACTGTTGATGGGTGTCGAGTTTCTGTAAAAATCCAATTTGACTATATGATTTGCGGCTTGATAATATTCCTGTCGTTATAAAATGGTTTAATTACGTTTTAGTCTAACAAATTGTGTCGAGTGGTGGTTATAAGTGTATGCTGTAAGTTGTAAACAAATCCAAAATGTCCGTTCCGAGTACGGGTTTGAGCAAGTTGAAGAAGAAACACATTCGCGTAAAGCATCAAAAAGTGAAATTATTCCGTGCCAATGAACCGTTACTGTCTGTTTTTATGTGGGGTGTAAATCACACGGTAATTATATTATTTATATTATGTTAATTACCATAACCATGTCAGGAACCTAATGGGATTTCGTTGCAATTACATTATGTCATTTCCTTCGTTACCGGATTGTTGTGGTTTTACAATATTTACATGCGAGGTACCATTCGAAAGTATTATCGTCCGCTCTGTTACCATATACCTTTCTGGCACCTGATCAATGCTTATTGTTTTATCAATGTCCTTGCTATGAACATAAATAGTCAACTTCAAGCTTCATGCAAATTGCGTCTTAATTGCAAGAATAAATAAATTTTAAAGTAGTAATTCGCCATTTTGTGTACCAGAAGCATTGGCCAAATGCGGTGTTGGCCCAAAGTTAATCTGAATAACAATTAAAAATTAATGATCAAATACCATAATTATAGAATTTGATTAGGTTAATTATCTTACCTCATTCATTAATTGTTAATTTGATTATTAATAACTATGTGTAAATAAAATGTAATGATATATTGTGATGAAACAACTCAATCTAAAAGGCCTAAATTCCTAAAGCCCACTGCACTAATTATTGTATCATAAACATTGTGGTACTAGCTATAGAAAGAAAGAGGCACATTTGAATAAAAAAAAACAATATTTTGGAAACTAACTTGAACGGAAAAAAAATACAATGATTATATTGATATCATAATTTATCAAGCGTGGCGTCAGAGTGATGGCTTTTGGCTGAAAAGGTTAACCATTACTTCGCCTGCATATTTTATATCAATTCGCTATAGCCTGTGTTACACAGAGATACTGTAGCTAACTATTGGTGAAAGATGCTATTATTGATGCTAAAGATATCTATATATATAAAAGAAAGTCGTGTTAGTTACTTCGCTTATAACTCAAGAACGGCTGAACCGATTTAGCTGAAAATTGTCAGGGAGGTAGTTTAGAGCCAGGAGAAGGACATAGGATACTTTTTATCCCGTTCGAAATTAAAAAAAAGTCTGCTTATTTATTGCCATTAAGGCGGAACAAAGTTCGCCGGGTCAGCTAGTTATTTATAAAATAAGTATGATTAGAAACTGATCTAAACACAATCATAATCGGTAACATTAAGTTCATCAGTTAGTCACTAGTTGCATAGTAAGTAGCTTATCATTTCATACAAAAACACTAATTTATGGTTATTTGTTCATGGACAATAAAACTTATACGGATTTGTCTTTCAGATAAACGAGTTGAGTCATGTCACAATACCAGTCATGCTACTTCCCGATGACTTCAGGGCATACTCCAAACTCAAAGTCGACAACCATTTATTTAATAAGTAAGTATTTTAAGCGCCTACCTAAGTTTAGTCGTTATACAAAAAGTTGCAATAACGTTGAAGTGACCTTAATCTTACAGAATGCAATAATCGATATCATTCTGTTCTTGACACTGCAATAGTTAACGATGCTGATAAGTTCTGGTTATTCTATTGGGGAAACTATGTAATTCTTATGTACATAGTTGTAAAAAAATGATTGCAGTATTATTTTGAACTGTTTCAGTGCATTGAAAGAAATTCTAAAGGATGGTGAAGATTTTTAACACACTTTTTTATACATATTATGAGTTAAAAAATGAATGAAGACTTGGTTGTCTTGATTATTTTGACTTTTATTTCAATAACAAAAATATTTTTGTAGATTTTACTTAGGTATTAACTGATAATAATATGTTGGGTTTAAACAAAGATAAGCTGTTAATGACAGTGGTGTATTTTGAATGTCTGATTTCTGTGATTGATTTGATGATAGTCTTTTTAAATAAAGCTTGATTACCACTCACTGACTCACTCAGTGATCGGGGCCATTTTTTGGGGGGTTTATAGGAATGACAATAATTTACTAATCTTGAACTAGTCTAAACATTTAATATTATATTGAACTAAAAGTATTTTCACACCAGACTTAAAATTATTGCAGAATAGCACTTATTATAACACCTAAGATGTTACAATATGTATTTTCCTTTGGGTAAACACTGTAGCTCCTTGTAGTTGTAATAGGTTCGATAGTATGTAGTATCTGAAGTTGTAGATAACACATTCAAAGTTGTAAAGTTTCCTTTTCTTTCCAGGGAAAACATGCCATCTCATTTTAAAGTGAAGGAATATTGCCCGTTGGTGTTCAGAAACCTCCGCGAGAGGTTCGGAATTGACGACCTCGATTACAAAGAGTCGCTCACAAGGTAATAAACTTTATCCATACGAAAAACAACCAATTGATTCTGAATCGGCACGCGATAACGCTGACAAGACATCTTTATACGTTTATGTACGCATTTATTTATTATTTTTAATTCCCACATAATTTGGACTGGTATTCCCGTTCCCACCCCCGTCCTGTCCCTAGGTTTAGAAAGCCAGATAACTACCTCTGCGCGAGGATTCAGAAGCGGTCGATCAGCAAGCTGCGCCGGTCGGCCACCGCACCTACCGACGTTGCCAACATGAAAAACGAAACCCACCAAGAAGGCCTATTCCATGACGCGAGCGAATTCGTCAAAAGAGGCCTGACGATTAAACGCCTGAGGTCAGCGGACGTTTTACTACGAAGCTGTACGATTTTTAAGTTTTATTTTTTTCAATTAACAGTATGTAGTGTGCCTTTTCAACTGACACGGCAATCATTAGAATAGACCACTGTATCACGTCCCGATAACTGCTTAAAACTGAGTGACTCGGAAGGTTTAAGTGTTGAGTTTTCCGCGTGAGAAATGTTTAGTCCTGTCTTGGAGTTTGAGTTCATATCATGCCTAAAAAATTTTACCATTTGGTACATAATCTTACTATGGTTTGTAAAGATCCTAAATGACACGTGTATCTCTCATCATATGAAACGTCTCGCCGTTTCCTATTGATTATTCCATGATCGGTCGTGACCTATTGTGTTCCCTAACCCTGCATCTGCCCCTCATTATTTTTCGCATTGTTTTGCCTATTTGCTCCCGTTTTACTTTTTTATCATTCATCAAAACACGATTTTATGATGGTTTCCAATCTTGTGCATAGACAGGTTGGAGGTCGCTGATTAGACAAAGAATATTATTCTTGGATCTTGGATCGATAAAATGGTTATTTAATACGAAACTGGTATGATTCCGATTTTTCCAGGAGCCTAAAAATGATAAGATAGCAAGTAATTTAGTGTTCAGATAATGATTATCTATGCTGTCATGAAGCATCCTGTCGAATGCATTTACATACGATTACTAAAGTTTGGTAGAAATTCAAGATTAGAGAATTCGTATTTTTGGCTTTACCTGTCGCTCCTGCTCCTGAAACTGATTCGAAAAGGCGGACAATAATTCTACATGGAGTAGCTAGGCATATCTTATGGGGTTACAGGATTGGAAACCATCAGTATTAAGGCACACGCCAAAAATCACATCGATACACGCATAAAATTTACACGCGCAAATTACACACGTAAATAGTGCATATTTCCACATGCACAGATGCGTTGGCAATGGTAGGTATTTAACTATTCGTTTTGTCAAATTAAGCACAATAATAGCCTGTAAGGCTATGATGCATGCCACGATAAAATCTTGCCGAAGCATTAGACGATAAGCCCATACATTTGTCGTCTAAAAACATCGTTAAGATTTTATCGTGGGGCGCATCCTAGCCCGGATCGTCAATTATTTGGATCACAGCCTTTGGGAGCATGCTCTTCACTGAAATTCCTGTGGTGCCTGGATCTATAGGACAAACGCCGGTCACACTACAGGACAAATTAATAGCTTAGGAAAAGATATTTAAATAAATTTTGATGGTTGCTACTACCGAGTGCAAAGCAAAGCTGAAGGTAGATAATCAGACGGAACTGAAAAAGGAGAGATTCATACAAAAAGTTGCGAATTTAATATAGGCTTTAGTTTTCGGTTAACGTTAAAAATTATGTACGATAAAATTTAATATCGATAACAACTAATACAGCTTCTAGGTAAATGCGATAACATGATATTGATTCGTTAGGAGGATGAACTTAAAACGTACTTAATGTTTCGTCAGTAAGTGTCCGTCCAATGTCGTCATACTGGTTGGCATACGTATGTTTGTTTTTATTTTTGCTACAGGAAATGTGGCTTTGGTGTGTGTGAAAATAGAATGTTATACGACCGACATTCGCTCGCTATTGTTTTATTGTAAATGTATTTTGTAAACTTGATACAGATATTATGATGGTTTCTGGTTTTCTATGGTTCTAAAATCAATTTAGGTATTACATAAATAAACACATAAAATATGATTGTATAAAAGCAGATTTCGATGACTATGTCCGCATTCTGAAGTAAATATTGAACTTTAATCAATCATAGGATTAAGATTGAGTGTTGAGTACTATAATTTCATGATACGGTTCTAAACATCAATATCATAAAGCAAAGGATTTGTGTTTGTTTTATTCATGTAAAAAGCAAGTTTGTTTCGTCATTTTGTTTACGGTATTGTTACGTCACTATCTGTATGTTTGGATGCCTTACAGGGTGACTTTAAGCTGGATGGTTCCAAGCAAGTTCGGCACAGCAATTGGGACACATACTGGGGAGTGGAATCCTGACACTATTTTAGACTTTAGAGTAATATAAATATGGTTGCTTGTCCCAGATCGCAGCCAACCCCGGACGACTCGTCGGGTAAGTCGGGCGCCAAGTTCTACCAGAGCTACGACCGGCTGTTCATCTTGAAGACTCTGACTTCGGAGGAGGTGGAGCGGATGCACTCTTTCCTCAAGCATTATCACCCGGTAAGGATCTAGTTTAGAATAAAGCGTTTTTTAATGAGCATTGACAGATATGTCAAAATCCACTAATCATGCAGCATTTGGACCTCCCGTCTACGTATTGCCATCTAGCGGATTTTTCAATCGCGAAAACCCTCATTACTTAAGCTTTAATGCCATATTGGTACCTACATAAGGCGAACTTAATGCCATAAAGGCATTCTTTGCGAGTTTACCTTCGAGCTAAACAGAAAAAAATCGTTTGGCGGTGCTAGAAAGCAAAGGACGAATAAAAACTGTTGAGGTATTGTATGACAATACATGCCTATTTCAAAAAAGTTTTTCTATTTCGAAGCTACTAACAATGTTTTACAAATTCAAAACTATGAGTTTTAAGTGTAAAATTATAAGTTCCATAGAAAAGTAGTGCTTGCTTCGGAATTATTGGCAAGGTAAATTAATTATAGGTACACATGTATCCTTGTAGCCAATGACAGTCCAATCTTAGGAAGGCTATTATAGTAGCACAATCCGTCATATTATTATGTCTATTATAAAACACGCTAGTTCATACTCCCACACAAAGAAGTAATTAATCTTGTTAAAAAGATGATTCATAATTACGCCTATTTCACGAATCATGCTTTTATTAGCTGATGTAGCGATAGATAATTGTATTTAAGAATCAAAATAATATCTTGTAGATATAAAATGTCATGATAAAGCCAAGCTTTTGATAATTTACTATCTAATCTCTAGTAAGGAGAAATTGTATTCTATCATTTTGTTCTTAGTAAAGGAAAGGCTTATCTTTTCGTGTAGGTAGATAACAGAATCTATATCATGTAGATACATTTAAAGATTCTATTTCTTTTCAAAGATAAAGGAATGTTTTCTTTTAGTAAAATTTTCTATTATTAAGAGTACTTTCCCTCCAAGTGGCATTACAAAATTCCACCCTGTATAAAATAATATGCTTGCGTTAGAAGTGATTTCACCACAATAATTCAGCGGACGACGGGGTTCAAACTACCGATCCTTGAATCCGTTATTGACGCTGTTTGGTTATTGTCTCTTAAACTACATAGAGATCGTTTCATCCGCCGTATCATAATAATTCAGACCGCTAATGTTTGAGTGTTATCGGTACACGCTAAATCATCCATGAGTGCATACGCACACTACAATAATGGCGCTCGGATTGCTCGGATCAAACTCCCCGCACCCCGCGCGACCGAGACCAAAAATTGGTGAATGAAATTATGAAACGATCTATAACAAGCAATCTGTTGTTATTTAATTTTTAGCGTTAAGAGTCTCATCTCAAACTAATTTAAAAATTATAAATAACTTGAAAAAATCGAACTGCCTAAGGCGGGAATTGAACCCACGACCTTCTGCTTGCCGGACGACTGCTCTTCCAACTGAGCTACTTAAGACACTGGATGAACCCGTCGAAATTTTCAAGTGTAATACACTGTTACGGCCAGAGCGTTTGTTTCATCAATGTTTGGTATTTATTATATTGCCTTAGGCAGTTCGATTTTTTCAAGTTATTTATAATTTTCAAAGCAATCTGTTGTCCACAGTACATAGTGGAGCGGCACGGCAAGACGCTGCTGCCGCAGTACCTCGGCATGTACCGGCTGACGGTGGACGGCATCGAGCACTACCTCGTGGCCACCAGGAACGTCTTCTCAAACCACCTCAACATTCACAAGTGAGTGCGCAAACTTTATATTACGACTGAGATGACGTCATCTGAAACTAACTCAACATTCACAAGTGAGTGCGCAAACTTTAATATTGGGACTGATGACGTCATCTGAAACTAACTCAACATTCACAAGTGAGTGCGCAAACTTTAATATTGGGACTGATGACGTCATCTGAAACTAACTCAACATTCACAAGTGAGTGCGCAAACTTTAATATTGGGACTGATGACGTCATCTGAAACTAACTCAACATTCACAAGTGAGTGCGCAAACTTTAATATTGGGACTGATGACGTCATCTGAAACTAACTCAACATTCACAAGTGAGTGCGCAAACTTTAATATTGGGACTGATGACGTCATCTGAAACTAACTCAACATTCACAAGTGAGTGCGCAAACTTTAATATTGGGACTGATGACGTCATCTGAAACTAACTCAACATTCACAAGTGAGTGCGCAAACTTTAATATTGGGACTGATGACGTCATCTGAAACTAACTCAACATTCACAAGTGAGTGCGCAAACTTTAATATTGGGACTGATGACGTCATCTGAAACTAACTCAACATTCACAAGTGAGTGCGCAAACTTTAATATTGGGACTGATGACGTCATCTGAAACTAACTCAACATTCACAAGTGAGTGCGCAAACTTTAATATTGGGACTGATGACGTCATCTGAAACTAACTCAACATTCACAAGTGAGTGCGCAAACTTTAATATTGGGACTGATGACGTCATCTGAAACTAACTCAACATTCACTGTAGTCCGGTCGCCGAGCACGTACAATTTTGTCCAATGATCCCAAGCTACCCATCCTTATCGCTCGCGGCTAATTAGGTTGCTGTTGCGCTCGCACACCCACTGCGGCCGCCCGTCGCACAGTCGCGACAGCAATATAATTACGCGCTAGCGATAAGGATGGGTAGCTTGGGGTCATTGGACAAAATTATACGTGCTCGGCGACCGGACTATAGTGAGTGCGCAAACTATAATTTTGTGACTGTGGAAGAACGTTACCGTAAACCACCTCAACATTCACAAGTGAGTGCGCAAACTTAATATTGCGACTTATATGACGTCATCTCAAACTAACTCAATATACACAAGTGAGTGCGCAAACTTAATATTACGACTGAGATGACGTCATCTCAAACTAACTCAATATTCACAAGTGAGTGCGCAAACTTAATATTACGACTGAGTTGACGTCATCTCAAACCACCTCAATATTCACAAGTGAGTGCGCTTTAATATTGCTATGCGCTGAACTGACCAGATAAAATCCGCAGTGAGAAACCGCGTATCTGACTGCGCCAGGCAGTCTGCCATAGGCAGCTGTATTCACCTTTAACATAGACGTTAGCACCTTTACGTGAGCACGAAACGACAGCGAAGAAGAAAACCTTGGAACCTCTAGGGCAGTTTTCCAGCCAAGCAAGTGTCGAGATGAGATGTTCAAAGACGAGCAGCTCAGCAAGAAATATAAGCGAACAAACAGCTTTTCTATTTTTTATTATAGATTTTTGTCATAAATAACCCTTTTTCTGGCGCAGTCGGGTAAATAAAAAGTGGGCGTTGCAGGAAGCTAGTTTTTACCGCGCAAAGATATCTACGCCAAAGACTAAACAATTAAAACAGTGGTTCTTAACCTTTAAGTCATGAGGGACCATTTTACCAAATTTCTGTCTTGTCAGGGACCACCTCATAATCATAATAATCGGTCAAAAGTAAACCAGTTTGACTGCAAAAATCAGTAAAAAGTGGTTTTGACCAAGGTGTGCAAGTGCACTTCGTGGACCACTTGGAATGCCTCCAGGGACTACCAGTGGTCCGCGGACCACCGGTTAAGAACCACTGAATTAAAAAGTAAAGCTATTTATTAAAGCCTTTCTTTCCATAGTGCTAATTTGTATCCAATATCCATTTTCCCAGGAAGTACGATCTAAAAGGGTCGACGGTAGACCGGGAGGCGTCGGAGAAAGAGTTGGAAAAAGAACTACCCACGTTAAAAGACAACGACTTCATCAAGCAGGGCGTCCGCATTGACATCGGCGACGCCGCCAAGGACAAACTGCTCGAGACGCTGACGGCTGATGTCGAGGTACGAATAAACCAAATTCCATGTTTCAAAATAAATTGTGGAATCAGAGATTGCCATCCTAATAAAAAATAATGAGAAACCACAAGCATTCAATTTATTGAATACTTCTTAAGTGCGTTCTTATTTCCCGAGTCGTAATATTTGCGCTGACCCGATATCTAGTTGGTATTTTTGATCAAAGACTATACAAATTTAGTTTCGTATCCTCAATATTTTCCATTATGCCATATTGTTTACTAATAAAATATTTTTTATCTTGTTACATGTCACGTAAAATTAAAATAATACGTTCCATACTGTGTTTATATGGGCTACACGCTCATTATGTGACGCCACGATCAATTGCTTCCATAAAATTACAAATATTATATCAGTCCTAGGCCTAGTTCAGACACGGCGGAATCCAGACGGGCACATAAGAAATAAAAACAATTTTTATGTAGTCATATAAAAAATGAATTTAAAAAATTAACCTCCCCCATTCCAAGAGGAGGGGGGTGGGCTCACATATGGGGGCATTTTTGTCGATAAAATTGACATCACAACATCGCATTAAATTATCGCTAGCCCTATCCCAAACACACTGTAGATGTGTCATTATACTGAACCGTCCCAGCTATGACATTGAGAGGAGGGCGCTACTATCAGTACTGGATTAATATAGTCTATCCAATATAGCTTGATTAGAATGACAGCTGTCATCAAAAGTAACGACATAACTTTGTAGTAGCGATCAATGAGAGCTAAATATTGGCGGACGTGAAATAATTCACGTCTGACCTACAAACAATATTCCAGTGTACAACAGTGCTTCCAATAAAAATGTTAATTTCGTGTAAATGCAGCGTTAAATTACACCAATAAGTAGTAATTCGAAATCATAAAAATCAAGCTAGATTATTAACGACGTCTCTACAAGGTTATCTCGAGTTACAAAAATGTTAGTGATGGGACATATCGACAAATGTCTTAATAAAATTAAAACTAATTTTTTAACCTATTTAAGTCAAGTTATACGTTTTTCTAAATGTTCACTATTAAAAACCAAAAACCATTTCATTCTTAAATAATCAAACATCGGAAATCAATCACCATCAAGTGATTGATTGTTGCTCTAGAAGAGATGTCCACCGCCCGAGAGGAAAAAACCACTGAAGAACACTGATGATGATGACTACGACTTAGGTTGTACAGTACACCCTTGACATACATTTTAAATTTTACTGTCTTAAAATAAAAATTTTAATTGTCATTTTTATGAATAAAGATATGAAGAAAAATTGGGTGCATTTTTTTATATATTTTTTTCGAAACTTATCGATACATCTATGTGAACCGTACGAAACATACCTAGCCCTAGTCACATTCGTTTGACAGCTCTGTCATTCTAATCAAGCTATATTGGATAGACTATAGTTCCGATTTTTTCCATTTGACGTTTCAAAATCGTTCAACTATACCGCGCGTGTTTGAACAAGTTCTAATAGCACTGTGTTGTTCCAGTTTCTAACGAAGCTCCACCTAATGGACTACTCGTTACTACTGGGCGTGCACGAGTGCGGGCGCGGCGAGGCCGAGGCCGAGGCGGCGCGCGCGCGCGAGGCCGACAACGACAGCGACAACGACACCGACACCGACACCGACACCGACAACCGGCACCACGGCGACAAGTGAGTGTCTTTATAGCTGTAGAGAGAAAGTATTTTTGCAAAGCATATTATTATCGCGAAGTACGGACGTGCTGCAGTGAGACGCTTGGTGTGACGGTGAGCCAGTGTGCACATTTAGGTACACTACAGGCACCACTGCAACAAGTGAGTGGCTGTGCTGTGTTACAAGCGCGGGAGGCCGACAACGACACCGACACCGACACCGACAACCGGCACCACGGCGACAAGTGAGTGTCTTTATAGCTGTAGACAGAGAAAGAGAGTTTTTGCAAAGCAGATCGCGAAGTCACTTATGTATTTTCCTCGTTTGATGCACCGTGAGTACATCAGGCGCGTGAAACTGACAATGATACTTACCATATTATCAAAATTACCACTGAACATTATCCTTATGGAAGGTTCGGTCGCTGAGTAGATAGAATTTCGTCCAATGACCCCAAGCTACCCATCCTTATCGCTCGTCGCGGCCGCAGTGACTGTGCGAGCGCGACAGCAATATAATTACACGCGAACGATAAGGATGGTTAGCTTATGGTCATTTGACGAAATTCTATCTGCTCGGCGACCGGACTTTAGCAACCATGACAATGATGATAACGCCCCCAATGAGAGCTATCGTTTTTATACTTAACAGTTGGCACCCCTGGCGATTGACAGGACCTTACTCTACAGTGGCGCCATCTTGATGAGTGCAAATGCGATAGTCCTCCTACCACTTTAGCGCTCATCAGTTGGTGCTAAAACGATAGCCCTCATTATATTATTTGCAGGTGGGGCTACAACACGCCGCCGGACAGCCCGCGCGGGTTCGCGCGGCAGTCGTCGCTGCGCTACCAGGGCATCATTCCCGAGCTCGACATCTACGCCATCCCCAGTCAGGACGGTACGTAGATAAAGAAAGAAAGAAAGAAAGAAAAAATGTTTAAAAAAATGTAAAAGATAAAAGAAATGTATCTTAGATTTGTTGATACGTTGTTGAGGCGACATTGCGCCGTCTAGGATTTTCATTGTCGCGTCTTTGCCTCGTATCATAGAGTTATGGGAACGTGAGCCACTCGAGAACTTTTCTGTCCCAACGGCAAACAGGGGGGTAGTGTGAGTTTACGTCAAACGCATTCGATGTCGACTGCGTAAAAAAGTGACATTAAATGTGTGACGGATTGTACAGCGGCAACTTTCAAGAACTAAAATCTTCATATATTTTTTTTAACTCGCTCGTTATTACGACATTTAATTTTGATGTAAACTCACGCTAAGCCTTCAGTTCTACTAGCATTCCTGCGGGCAATGTCGATTACATTGGTTTTCCTACTATGAATTAATTAATTAAAAAGTATTACATAAATGAATATCTACTAGAATTATTCATTCATTCCTATATAATTAGTGAATTCTTCTATTTTACAGGTGCACCTAAGAAGGAAATATACTTCGTCGCTTTGATTGATGTGCTGACGCACTATGGAGTTAAGAAACAGGTGAGACTAACATACTAATATCTATCGATTTATCGATTTTAGTGTGTTAACTCGAGAACAGTCAAGTTAAACTAATTTCTTCTTTCAGGCGGCGAAAGCAGCGAAGACTGTAAAGTATGGTAGCAATGTAGACGGCATTTCTACTTGCGACCCGGAGCAATATGGAAGGCGGTTCATAGAGTTTGTAGCTAAAGCCATAGAGGGCAACTAGGCCATCACCTTCGGAATACCACCGAATGTCGAATACATGCCAGCAATTATTTCTTCACTTTTAAATCGTATACGAATTATTTTCGCGTGAATCGTTAATCACGAATATGCAGTTCTAATCGTTCTTAGGTAATCGTTGATATTGATACTTTCTATCGGTAGAATTCGAATGTTAACGGCGGAAATTTTAAAGCATAATAATGTGAGATCCGTTTTAAATTGTAAATTGAAGTGTCTTGTCAGACATAACAATGAAACCGTTGTCTTTTTATGAATTACTCAGGATATATCCGAAAATGAGAGAATAATGAACAAAAACGTTTATTGTCGTACCTATTCACAGTGATATCTTTATTAAAGACTCAGATATTTTTGCATACAAATCTATGTGAAGCATAGGTCAACTTTAAGGATTTTTCAAAGTTTATTTTCATTTTGCAATGTGATTTTTATATTATTTTTTATATTAATTATTCGACATTCGGTTGTATTCAAATACCCTACCTCAATGGTAGGTTTTGGACTTTTTTGTCTTTACTGAGTCACAAAAAGTCCTTGATTCAGTGAATAGAGTACAATTACCCTAGATATGGTATTTCTGTTTTAAATTGTTTTACAGGTCATTTAAAAACGAAATAGTCTGCAAGTTTTCTTTATCTCCGCCATCTTAAAGAAAACTTGGATATTTAATTATTTTAACGAAGTATAACATATAAAAATGCAACTACCGGGCGCTTTTTGGCCTCTGTTCACTGAATCATACTTGTACAAGTGAAAAAATCGCTAAGCAGTGCTTCGACTAGCAACGACTAAAGAACACTGGTGGGTGAAGTGATTTTCGTATTTATTTCTTACGCAATGGGTGTTTAATTTGTATATCAACAAAAGAACCGATTGCCTAAGAAATAAATGTCAATAAATGAAAGTGAAATGCGTTTACAGATTACTCATTGGAATTTAAAATCATGTCAACAGTTTAAAATGGACTTTGGGAGCCATAGCAATAAAAATGGGACTCAAATAACCAGATTACAGTGTTATTTATGATCTGGTCAATTATTAGAATTTTCATGTTTTTAGGTAAAATTAAAACTCAAAAACAATGTTGGCTACCCTAAATCTATTTTATCTGTGGCAACATTAAAAAAGATGGCGTCTGTTCAAGACTGTACCAGATATCGAAGTCATTTTTAGTTTCCGCTAGTCTCACTAGACATGTTCAGTTTCAAAATTGATACTCCGTTAGACTTGACCGCACTGAATCACTGGTGATACAACACTGTAATATTCAGCCTTATTGTGATCGTACTGCGGGTGAATATGCAATGATTGTTCGCCAGTGACTAGTGATTCGTAGTCAAAATGGAATTTACAGGGTGTTGTAGTTTTATAGTAGTTTCTGTAGCTCATGTCGCTTGCTAGAGGAGGCACCGCACGTATCGCGCGACGAACGCAGCACTAAGTGTAACGTCGATTTCAACTTAATACGATTAGAGTTGAAACGTTCTGTGGAGGTTTCTTAAAGTTTGATATTTATAATGCTAAAGATATAAACAGATGTCGGATGTTTGTCGTTTTCAAATTTTTCTCGTATTTATTCGCTTCGCGTGCGAATTGTAACACTCGTGATTGTAGCTGTCAGTGTGCTTTCAATTGCCAAAATGTTAAAAATAATATTTGTGCGTTTAAAGACAAAACCATAGTGTGGCGTGCGGTTGTAATAGGCCTATATGAAATTTGAATGGAAATTTTATCTGCAAAGCTTATTTTTAATTATAAAAAGTCAATTAAATGTTCAACGTACAATTCTTTTAGCTAGATGTATCCCGATTTCAAAACATAGTAAATGTAATGGAATCTACCATGATCATCGTCAAGAAAGTAGTAGGTATGCATCGATTTTAAATATTAATCGATGTGAGTGGTAACCACATTAACATGGTAGACGTGTTTATCATGGAAAAATGCGGTTTATCGTTTGTTGACAAAACACGATGGCAAAGGGCAAGGCTTGAAATGTACGCGTCAGTACCTTTTTTCTTGGTAGAAAACATTATACATCTTAATCGGGTGTAATTAACAGAAATGTAGGTATGTATATTGTTTAATAGTTGTTGCAATTCACGATGGCGAGTGAGCTTTAATGTGTGGTGGTTCACTAATGTCGTTTTTCAAAGGTTTTGATAGACATTACATTATCGTTATGTGCATGTAGTACACACACAAGTAAAGCTCACTCGCCTTCGTGAGTTGCAAGAACTATACAGATGACAGCACATCAAGATAATCACAGTGGCGTCTTAACTCGTTGTAATACGGGCTATTTTGCAACAAAAATGTAGTCTGATGTGGTGTCGACTGTACTAAACTTGACGTCCTGTGTCATTTGGCAAGTTGAAAGCACTGGCTGCGCCGGCGCCGCTACATGAAGCATTCACGTTTGAACTGAACTTTGAGCACATTTCGCAATAATTCATAACTGTTATTAGCTTTTATAATGTTCCGCTATCGCGTAGTTTTAGTGATGAACAAATTAAAAATGTTGGATATCATTAAATTTAAGATGTTCGCGTGTTAAAATTGGACAAGTAATAAATAATGTTATTCTCAAATTAGTAAACAGTATAGGTTTACGGCTGTTGTATACTACCCTGTTTGTGGGTTATCTTAACCTGTGTAGTCGAGTATGACGCGTTGTTTGACTGATATGTGACTGGAGTCCATACAAATATAGTACATTGCAATACAGAATGTAAAGTTTATGGAAGTGTAATTATAAGTTGACCGTCATAAACGCGACAGTCCTCGGAATGGACCTGTCAATTTAAGATTGTTCACATAATGCTGCTTACTAGTATTATATCGTCCCTTTGTCTCATTCAAATACCTTTATGTTGACTGAAAGACTGTTCGCGTTAATGACGGTCAATGTATAGAAGAAGTTCTGCTTGGTTTTTAATTTGACAAATTCCCTCGTTGGGGTATTATTAAAAAACTTATTAACTGCCTTAAAATTTTGACGAGTTAAATATAGGTATGCGTGAAAAGTTTGAATGGAATTTTTCGGCAAAATAGCTGTCTTGCTCGCACACAAAATAATCATACGCGCGAGAAAGAAACGAATGAATTTGTGAACAATACGTATAATTCTAAAGTTATTGACATTAGACATTATTTATCTTATTATGTAGTGATGTTAAAGCATTTTTGTTGAAAAAAATTGTATAAAAATTGAATACACCATGCAGAACTTCAATGAGTTAAAGGTAAAACCCACGTTTTACCCTATTAATCCATACGTCATATTGCCAATATACCTTTACCTAGTGTCGCTTAGTTTCTGTCTAGTGTAGAAAATAGTATGAAGTAAGATTTTGTTATTTATTATTCTATTTCGGATTAAGACTTGGATTGTTATTGGAGTCTTTGTGATTTATTTTGTAGATGTTAAGCCTTATGGCTTGAGAAGGGAATTTTATACTTTAATAGTCATCGCCAGTCTCGATTTAAATATTAAATTCTTTAAAAAATGTTGAGGTATTAAAATTACCTCTTTTTAAACAAAGTAATTGAACAGTATTTCAGATCCCACTCCTAAACTTGAAATTGGATTAAAATGTGTTATGAAAGGATAGATTTTGTGATAGATATTGTTTACTTTTAGAATATAATTTTACTTTTATTTTAGATATAAAGTTGGTCACTCTGATCTAATCAATCAATGAGTTGTAGGTGTTAATGTAAAATAATAAATCCAATTGTAAAATCGTTTTAATACAAATCTCTAAAATAATCCCAGAGTGGTCAGTTTTGCAAGACGCGTCGTTTAGGGGCCTGACAGACAATATAAGGCCGCTTTCACATTAGGGCGTGAGAAGCCTGACAGACAGCAGCGTTTTTATAATGTGAAGGCAGGCATCCGCTGTCATATAGTATGAAATTATCTGCTAAAGTCGCCTTAATGTGAAATCGCTCTAAAGCTGATTATTCGGACAGTGAAATGTCAAAATACGAGCCTTAATTCTCCAACTTGGTTGATTGAAGAGAAAGTTGAATTAGAGCGCTTTCACATTAGGGCGTTAGAAGCGCGACAGCAGCGCGGCAGCGGCGTTTTTATAATGAGAAGGAGTGCATCCGCTGTCACATCACATAGTATGAAGTTATCGGCAGCGCGTCTGTCGCGCTGCTAAAGTCGCATAAATGTGAAAGCGCTCTTACATTGTCTACAGGTTCGGTCTCAATGATATGTCCGTTATCTTTCCCCCTCACACCAATGTAACAACGTAGATTCCTGAACAATGTGTTAGTCATGGTAATGATTAAAATATGTCATAATGTGTTGCCATTGTTTAGGTCGGTAATATTATTTTATTTTAGTTGTGTTACTATAGGTTTTATTTTCTTGTTATACGGTGACGGTAGAAGCCACATGCCTCAATGTAAGGCGTACGATAATATTTATTATAAATACGATAGCTTCGCTACGAACATAAGGTATTCGGCATGTAAGCAACACGATTGAAATGTTAATTCTCTAGTCTCCTACTCTTGTAAAGACAAAAATGTGTATGAAAAATTTAAACTTAATTTTTTAAATACATATTCGGTTTATAAAGTTTCTGCAATATAACTTGAGTGTTTTATTTCTCATTTCCTATTTCCAGAAATAAACTAGGAAAGGTATTTCAGAGTCGGTACCTTTACAGTGTGACACGAAGTTCACTATACTAGTACCTCTAGCACGAAAAGTCGTTTGCGTATTCGAATTGCCATCAAAAGATTAAGTATGAAAACTTAAACAGCGTCCCTATGAACGTGACGTAAATGCACTTAGTATGAGGATTGAGGAATGGTAGCACGAATTGAGCACGAAACTAATTTTGATAATAGAAGCCCACGTTATCGTTGAATTCGCAGGCTGTCGAATTTTGTCCAATACGCAAACGATTCGAAGACGAAAGTTTTTCGTGCTAGTAGATGTAGGTACTAACTACTGAGCTCACGGTTTCGATTCCCGTATAATTTGTGTGTATTATTATTTAGGTATTAGCCATATTATGGTACTAAAAACAGACGGGTGATCAAAGTGGACTCCTGCCGACACTTGGCCTTTGGTCACCTATGGATGCCTTGGGTGATTACAGTGGACTTCTATCCATGGGTCACTACTCCTGGATGATTAAAGACACCAAAGTATCGCCAAATACTTTGATCACCCGTCTGTTTAACGTTTAGATCGGAAGTTCAAGCAGAAACATAATGTAGACATTTTGAATCTAATGGCAAAGATCTACCTACCTACATAGAATCTACATTCTTGTAGACAAATAAAAACAAAATAAAATCGGATTTTAGATAGCTTTATTAATAAAACGTTAAGATAATACCAGCATCCCATACACAAACACATTAGTCCATCCTCGTCTTGACGTGTTTCTCGGTGATCTTGTCTTTCTCAATGATGTACACGACAGCGCCCCAACCGGAGATCGCGTCACGATCGGCTGCGTTCACGAGTGCCTGTAAAATAAAATAATTTATAATTTTGCATGCGTGGAAGATGCGAGATACTAAAAAACTTGGAACACCTACTGTACAAATTCTTAGTCTATTGGAACTTCAATACAGACGCACGCTAAACAAAACCCTATAGAGTTAACTGCGCACTTCGCTGTATGCAACTCCTTCGCACTCAACCGCGCACCTCCGCGTGTTCGCGTCGCTCGCGTGTGACGTCACAGCTGTCAGGTGCGCAGTTAACTTATTCAGCCCCCCTAGACAAAACGCACTTTTTGATCGAATCGAAAATCGAATCCGTCAAAACTCCATACAAAAAAGGGGCTTTTCGACCACTTTTCGACTGGTTTGCGATTATAATTTGCACTTTGTCTAGACCCACAGGTTGTACAACACAAGCCATTTTCATTGGGTCTTAAAAGTGTTTAAATACCTACGCGTCACACTAGAAGTTTTTGTCATTACTACTGTCACTAGATTTAAATCGTAAACTTAAGAATGTAGATTGTATAAGTCTGTCAATATAGTAGTATGGAGAACTTGTAAGCACTGGTTTTCTTGTAAGAGTTATGAAAACTGTATGCAGGTAATCTAAGTCAAATAAATATTATTTTGTCAAATGCTAATGTGACCAATTAGATCCTATGATAAAGTTTGTCATCATTATTACCCAACTGTGCTAGAAGGAGGGTTATTTACTTATGTACTTAAGAAAAATGTACCTGAGAGATTGTTTCAAAGAGCTCATCAGGCTTGAGGTTGGGTTCCCAGAGCGCTTCACACATTCCATACAGTTGCTCTGAGCATGTACCCGACACCACAAAGTCTTCTGGCTCATTGGGGCAGCCAATCTGAAATTGAATTGTATATTTCTTATTGATTTTCATACTGCAAGAGCAATGCAGTTTACTAGTGTCATAAATCCATCCAGAGTTTATTATTGATTACTAATTTTATCTGAATAGAGAGATGATAAACACATACAATTGCCTATTTGCAATAATGCAATATTATGAAAATAAAAAAGCAAGAAAGACCAGGAGTAATGTGCACTCTCCAAAAGTCTAAAAGCACAATATCCAATCTGATTGCAGCTGCTGGGCTGAATGATGATTGTACTTTATTTCATGGGTGACTTTTACAACAAAATTTAACAGAAGCCTGGCAGTAACTAAAAAATAATATTTAATATAAAATAATAATTCAATCATAAAACAAGTTTCTCATGATTTCCACTCTCACCGCTTTGTCAATGACATTACCATCTTGGTACCTACTAAAGTTTGTAAACCCATGTTCGTAAATAAAAATGATTTGATTTCAAACTTACCAGATCCATATTGCACACATAAGGCTGGTTATCGTAGGGGTCCAGCCCGGCGATCACGGGCTCAATGAAGTAAGGCCCAAAGCGCCTCTCGTAGAGAAGGTTTGAGAGCATCGCTGAGAATGTCTTGGGCCTCATTATTCTGTTCTCTTTAAGCTCATAAAGGTTCATTCTGGAAAAATATAAATGAAAGAAAGATGATTATAGAGTTCAAAATGTTTTGTACAAAGAAAACTTTAAATTTTAAAGGAATATTGACTAACTTTTGCTCTACTTGCTCTGCAGCTTATAAAATTTTATTAACTGCATCATCACATTTAAAATATGTTTTCTCAGTGATCGGTATGAATGGAGCTAAAATGACTACCTTACAAGTATTTTGTCACAGTACTCATAAATGCTGGTTAAAATAATTTTAAGAACATGAAAATTTGTTTACCTGAACTTCAGTCTCTGGAACACAGTCTGTGTATCAGTTGCAAGACCTGGTAGACCTACATACAGTGTGGGGCCCATCTTGTAGACTTTAGGGAAGTTTGTCGACACTGTCTGGGCCTGGATACCGTAACGCTTGTCTGTAGCGATTGCCACGCAGTCCTGCCCTTTCATGGCAACCACAGCACCTCCATTGTACGCCAAGATCGACTGTAATCATAGTTGGTCATTACTGATTTAAATAATTCTACAATCTACATACGTTTCATAAACTTATTATTGAGTAAAATATTACTTATTAAGTAAGCATATGAAGCCGTGAAGCGCTATTGAACTAGTTATATCTTGAAAACCATAAATTATTTCTAATACAAACTCGGAAAAATGCATTGTAATGGTTCAGACGCTAACATAACCTATCTACATTATAAACTATCTTAAATACTAGTGGACATTTTATATAATTTATAAGGGACTTACCATTGTCGAATATTGTTGATATTTCCTTGCTAAAACGTAATTTATTTGCTGAATGAATTTATTTTATCAAAACCGACTCAAAAATGACATATCATTCGGCGACAAAATCTGCCACAGATAAAAAAAAACACTTGGCCAACCACAGATAAAATCTGAATAGTGTTGTACACTATTATTTATCCAATTGAACGATTAAAATCATTCAATTAAATTTACTAAAACACCGATTTCATTAAATAAAAACACCAAGTCCAAAACTATTAATTAAAATTTATTTCAAACGTTGATCAAGCGTTTCATTCTCCTCCAGCAATCAAGCTACAGGTAGATTTTATAGATAGTCTACATTCGTATATTTGATAGATTTGACAAAGTGCATAAGGTTAATCCATTTTCTACATCTACACTAATATTATAAAGAGGAAAACTTTGTTTGTTTGTTTGGTTGTAATGAATAGGCTCAAAAACTACTGGACCGTTTTTAAAAATTCTTTCACCATTCTAAAGCTACATTATCCACGAGTAACATAGGCTAAATTTTATTTTGGAAAAAAATAGGGTTCAGGGAGTCGCGCGCGTAGCCGCGGGCGGAAAGCTAGTATTAAATAAAACATGATAGGAATTTAAAATTCATTGAACTTTACGAGCTAATTCTGTTGCGTACAGGTCCAGGCGAGAAGTTATATTAAATCCCCACCGGTCTTTCACTTGTCTACACAAGTTTAAATCGAGTTCTCCTATTATTAAACCATCTTTCACCCTGGACAAAGATGGGGTTCGGCATCCGTTAGGAGCTGTTATGTAGCTGGACCCATAATAAGTTCTTGAAACAGTCATATTATGTTCTTTTATTTCATCCTTCTTTACGTTAAAAACTTCGGTGCCAACTCTGTTGATGCTGCATGTGAAATAGTTGTTAGCGATTGCTGCGTTCCGAGCTTCTATGCCCCAGAATGATTCGCCAAACTCTGAGATGGTTGCCGCTGGGTTGAACACAATGTCGGCTCCATTGAGTCCAAACATCAACCAGTTGAGTGCATGATGCCGTCCGTAGCAGATGTTGACAGCAATTTTTCCGTACGTGGTTTCAAACACAGGGTGTCCCATGTTACCTGGTTCGTAATAACCAATCTCGCTGAAGCTACCTACACTAGGCAGATGGTTCTTCCGATGTTTCCCCATATAATTGCCATTCTCATCAATGACCACTGCTGTGTTCCACCATACTCCATGATCGTTTTCTAAAATGGGCGATATGATCACCATCTTGTTCTTCTGTGCTATTTTTTGCAGGAATTTTGTACTAGGGCCGTCAGTTGCTGACTCCGCAAAGTCTGACCATCTTTCCTTTTCTCCCGTGCAGAGAAAGAATGGCATTGACCATGCTTCTTGTAAACAAAGTATTTGCACTCCTCCCGAGGCCGCGATATCTATTAGTTCACTGACCTTGCTGAATATGGCTTTCCTCTGTTCATTTACAGGTTTATCAGTGGGTAAAACAATGGAATGTTGAATTAAACCGACTTTTACTCTTCTTGGCTGCCTTGATTCTTCTTTTGCGGCTGGGTAATTGTATCCCGCGATGTCAATACCCTTTTCTTTGCACTTTAAGGTTATATCTTCATCAATGTAGAGTTCGTTCAGGGTTTCTTGGCCATAGTGAATCCTGTTGTACTCTCTCAGTTGTTGAGGGCTCAGTTTTTTCTTGATGATGTCGTCAAGTGTTATTTTCGTTTGTGTATCCATTCTGTTCAACTGGTTTGATATGTCCATTAATATTTAATCAGTCGTGGAGGCGACGTTACGTAAGATTGTTTACTGAGCACATAGCTTGGCAACTCACATATAGATACTAACTTCATGTTTATAAA